GTCGACGGCTAAGCTACCGGCAGCATCGTCACCCCCCTCGGCAAGAGATGGCCAAGGCGTCGGCGTCGATGCAACGACTGCGGACGCTCCTCCAGGACGGCAATCGGACAACGCCCGTGCGCAGCCGAGCCTGTGAATCCCTCCAACTCAAAGGAGCATTCGAGAAGCATGAGCCGCGCCAATCCCAACGCAAGTTGACTAGGCGCCAGCACGTTTCGAGCCCCGGCCGTTTCAAGAGTTTACAACTAGTCCAGAGAGCTCCAACGGCCGGCTGCGTGGGACTCTGCTACGCCTCGTCGGCGGGAGAGCCACGAATCCGCCAAGCAAGTTATACTTTGCCACGCGCAATGGATTGGCCGAGCAAGGTTTGGAGCCGCGCCCATTGTCCATCATGGGCCATGGCGGGTCGGGGCGCAGGGTTGGGCCGCTCACGAGACGCCGCGCCTGAGCATGAATAGACGTGCAACTACGGCGACGCTCGACCAGTGGCTCGGTTTCAAGTCACGCCCTGGCATAGATTTGGTTTCCTCGGCTTGAATATAAAATTAAAACAAAATAAAAAAGGTAAGGTGGGGGGTCCCCGCGCATCGCATCGCGCAGCATCGCAGTTCGTCGTCTTCCCCTTGCCGGCCGTCGCTTCGAATTCGGAAAGGCAGTCTTCAATGTTGCAACGAGGACAAAACCACCGACCCCTTCTTTTCCCCTGGCTGGTGCTTCGCCGAGGATCGACCACTGCCTTTCCCTCTGCAAGTTTGCTTCCCAGTGCCCCCCCCAGGTTTCTGCAGACACCACACCGCCGCCCAGTCTCACTAGTAGCCTCGACAAACTTAGGGTTGCCCGGCAATGTTCCTCTGCCAGGCAGCTCAGCTGCGCATCATCCCAAGCAAGCTTCGAGCGTTCGCAACTGCCGGCCGCGGCTCGGGTGGGATCTGGTGCTAGAGGCTTTCCCAGAATGGCCCGTGATCGCTGGCTAGCGGCCATCTGCCCTGCACACATGCCATGTCCCTGGTCCAAACAGTCTGCGAAGATGAGCACCATGCTTTCTTTTGTTTCTGTCGTGCAAAGACCGCGCTGCGAGTGCCGACGAATCGAGCCGCACCCTCCAAACCCCCCCCCCCCCCCCCCCCCAGAAAAAGGGGAGAAAAGTAGATCAAGAATGGATGAATAAATCAATAAATAAAATAAATTAAAAAAAAATGCCGCAGCGCAATTGGGGGGTCTTCCCACGGTCAACCACACACGTGGTTGTTGGCTCCCGCTCTAGGGGACCGGACCCTTGTGTGTTTTGATGGACGCACATGTGCGCATCGTAGCTTGCGACGGACAGGACAGTCAGTCAGTCAGTCAGTCAGTAGTGGCACCGCATGGAACTTGGGGGATTCATTCATAGACTCGTTATCCAAACCATGGCACCATCTCTCACAGCCCGCATCAACCCCGTCTGTCCTCATATTCCAGTTGTGACAATGACGGCCACCACTCGCCTGATGATTAGAAGACGTCCTCGTCCATGCTGCCAACCCTCTTCTCTCCGACCTCGCGAATCTTGTCGCCCAGAACGGTGCGCCCGTACCGCTCAGCCACCTTGCCCGCTGCCTCCATCATGCGGCCTGTTCTGTCGCGCATGAGTTCCACCATTTCGAGGGCCCGCATGCCGCGGTCTTCGCCGTGGCGACATTCCACCGCCAGTAACTGTAGGAGCGTCTTGTCGATTTCCAACTCGATACGGGAGAGGAGCGATCTTTGGCTGTGGTTTCCCGAGGTGGCGTCGACGAGGTCTCGTAGCTGAGCGGACTGCACGCCCTGGAGCATGAATTGCTGCTCGAGTTTTCTCGTCTCCGAGTCTTCGTCATCGTCTTCCCCGTCTTCGTCCATCGCTTCATCCTGCCCCGTCTCGGCATCGTCCGCCTCCTTCCTCTTCTTCTTCTTCTCCTCCCGCGGCGATGCCAGAGGCATGGAGAAGCCAAACTCCGACAGCAGCGGTCGAGGAAAGTACGGGTATTTGTCGCCTCCCTTGAGGATGATGCAGTGGAACTTGTGGTCTGCGACGGCAACCGGGAAGTACGTCTCGCTTTTCCGGCCAGACGCCAGGCGAGACAGGAGCTTGGTGTCTAGTAGAGGCACCCAGCACGCACGGCATGGTTGACGCCAGTGCAGCAGCGTGAGCAAGGTGCCCGTGGAGTCGTAAATGCATGGGTCCTGGAGCAATGTGAGCAACCTGTCAGCGCTGCGGGAGTAGGCGTCCCTGGGATAACTCACCCCGTCATCTGAGAAGAATACGCTTTTGAGCGTTGCCCCCGCTGGCAGAGCGACCGTGTCCTCGTTTTGGCAAATCTCGTCTCGCTTGATGTTTTCAATCGTGTATAGTAGGCGCGGTCTCCCATCAGACCCGACAGGGCCGTTGCCGATTGTGAGGACATAGTCTTTCCAGCTGGCACATGTCACCATGGGCGAACTCTTGGGGCGATATACTCGGTAGGGCATTCCAAAGAGGGTAAAGACCCTGACGTAGTTGGCCGACGTGGTTACCGTGATGAACGACTCGCTCAAAGACATTGCTGTGACCGTTTCTCCCTTGGGCAGCTGTGTTCGCCAATCAGTTCGCTGAGTCCAGCTCTCGTGTGGTCGGTAGAAAATGTAGGCAGGAGCGTCATCTTTGGGCGGACTTGAGAACAAGGTGCCGCTTTCATTCAGGCAAGCCTTGTCGTAGAGAAATGTGTCTGTGAAATGAAAGTCTCGCTGGAACTCGTGGTCATAAAACTCCACCGTAATTGTGTGGTGCGAATCTTGATCAACTGTCCACACAAAACCTACGAGGTTCAGGCATAAGTATTTCCTGTTTCCCATCCAAGGAGTCGAGCCGGGTTGAAAGGATTCGTGGTGCTGCGGTTGCATCAGATGAATCTTCTTGCTTGCAGGATCGCCAAATACATCATCCGGATCCCGTCCTCGTTTACTCCCTCTGCCAACAGCATAGCCAGCACCGTCGTCATCAACGACAAAACCGTCATCTTCGCCATTTTCATCAAGCAGGGAGCCGATGCTGTCCAATGATCCTCTGCGAGGCCGGCTAGGAATGGGCTGGATTTTGTGCCCGTTGACAGGGAGGAGCTGCTGCCGGTTTCCCGATATCTCTGACAGGGGATCATGAATGAATGGGGCAGGTTGTGTGTTGAGCTTCAGTAATGGAGAAAACTGCTCATGAAGGAAGTCTGGGTAGATGAATACTTCACCGTCTGTGGTTGCAAATGACAAAATATTCTTGGACGGGTGCCATGCCAAATCGACTACATTGGAGTAGTCATATCGCTGAATCACGCTCTGTGACTTGGTTTCCCAAACCAGGACCTTGCCATCCTTGCCCGCCGAAGCGAGCAGGGCGCCGTTCGGAGACCAGGCAAGAGAGGTAATGTCGGACAGGTGACCGTCAGCGAAGCGCCGTTGCTTCTCCCAGTCGTTTTTGGAGATGACTTGGATGTCCTTGGTCGGAGTCGGCACAGCGAAGGCTCGTCCATCGGGATGCCAGGCAACTTTGGTCGATATCTCGGAATCAGAGTCCACATTTCCAATAATTCCATCGACTTTTCGGATAAGTTCAGGCTCCTCAGCTGTCAGGGAATAAATATATATGACGCCATCGGTACAGGACAAGGCGGCTAACCGTCCCTGCGGCTCCAGGGAAACATGTCTGGCAGGTTTGCTGTGCTCTCGCAGGTGCTTCACCTGTGTGATATCGCTCGTGTTGACAATCTTGACGCTGAGCTCGTCACTAGCAACCGCGCACCACTGGGAGTCGCGAGTCAATGCGACGTCTCTGATGGGGAGAGTGGCACGCAGAAGAAAGCGTTCAAAGTTGGCGGTTTCAATGTTGAAAAGGCTGACGGTGCCGTCTTCGGAACCAACGACAAAGAAATCTTTGCCCGCTGAGACGGACACATTTTGTTCTTGACAGTCGTCTATGTTCGTGGGCTCTCCGTCGGAACCAGTCTTGTAGAGTCGAATGGTGTTGTTGGAGCCGACAGTCACCAGTCGATTGCCATCCGTCGTGTACGCGCATCGCGTAGTCCCCTGGGTGTGGGCGGGCCGTGGCCGTGGCCGCGATGCTGTTGAATCCATTGTCATGCAACGAAAAAGTTCATCAGAAGACGAAGTGAATCATTCAGGCCCCCAACTCGTGTCAGAAAGCCCCGAGGTCGCCAAACCCATGTATGAACGGGGACGTGTGACGTGTGACGTGTTGATCTTGATGGCTCGTCGTGGGAGACGCGTCGAACGCGTTCTCCTTAATTGACCGAGACGCGAAACGCCTGCCCTGCTAACTGCTTAAGCCTTGTTAACCCACGCCAGCCCCACCGCTACCTGCCCAACCATTGGCTTGTCAGGTGTTGTGGAGGCTTCAAACTCGAAAGACTCGGACCGACGAAAGACGCCATTCTTTCATGTCCTCTCTCTACTCCTTAGCAGGGCCATGGATAGGAAAAAGGTTATGGTTACGTGAAGAGAATGCTCATCGAACGCTGAGCGTTTGGCACTTGAAGAATTCGGATGCATCGACAACTCGTACATCAACAAGCTCTCTCCACTCAATCTCGCCGATTATACGAAATACAGGTTTCTGATCAACCATAGAGAATGCAATCTGCTGATCAAGACCACTTCTTTGAGACCGAGTGGGTTTGATCACCACGCCTGCCCCGCGATGAACCTCTTGAGAACCTAGGACCAAAGGCTGACTCCTAACAGTGCGTCTCAAGTACAGAGAGCGAGGAAGGCCGCCAAGGCTGGCAACAAGCATGGTGACCCTTTGGAAATGAAGTCCAAGATTCTGGCGGCGGTTCCAGACCCAATGTCGCCGTCCTCTGGAATTTTCATTGCCGAGTCTGCAGGTTACGTTCGGCAAGTGAAGTTGTCTGTATGAAAATCGACGGACCGTCCACTTTGCTCTACATTTCACAGACTGACGGATCTGCACAGCTCTCTCAACCACACTCGACGACGTATCGTGGTCCCAAAGCCCCAGTGACTTGTCTGGCAATTGGGGCCGCCGGCAACAGCAGGACCATCTTTGCGGGGTCTTGGGACAAGGATATCTGGTCGTGGGACGTTGAGTCAACGCAGCTTGGACGCAAATATAGCGGCCACGCTGATTTTGTAAAGGCCGTGCTCTGCGCCAAGCTCAAAAACAGGGACATTCTCATCAGTGGTGGAGCCGACAAGAAGATAATCGTGTGGGATGTAGAAACGGGTCGCAGGCTGCACACCATTCAAGATGCCACGACAACGATGCTCGCCATTCAGCATCTCGCTCTGGATCCCGCACTCAGCACCCGCGATGAGCTCGTGCTGGTAAGTGCCAGCAGCGATCCTCACATTCGGCGATGGAAAATCGGTCTTGATGACTACGAGCAAATAACAGAGACCTTTGCCGATCGACCTGGTGCCGAGCGATCGACCATTGAGGAGCACGACACGAGTGTTTACAGGCTGGTGTTTGACACGGACGGAGAGGACGCCGACTTGTGGACAGCAAGCGCAGACGGAACGGCAAAGTGCCTGTCCAGGTCCCGGAACTTTGTCGCCGAAGATTGCCTGAATCATGGCGACTATGTTCGGTCGGTTCAACCAACCGAACAATGGGTCATCACAGCCGGAAGGGACGAAAATGTCAAGGTATGGGACAGGGCAACTGGAAAGCTGTATTGCTCTCTGGAAGGGCATTTTGAAGAGATCACGGACCTGGTGCTGCTTCGCGGTGCTCAGGGCTCGCCCGAGAAGATATGCAGCGTCAGTATCGACAGGACGATACGCACCTGGCCTCTCCAAAAGACGGATCTCGATGACGTAGTCAGAAGGATTGAAGAGGCCAAGAAACCGAGCACCGACGGGGCAGACACGGGTGCCGAGACCCTTGTCACTGCTGAAGAGGAAGCAGAGCTGGCGGAACTAATGGATGACTAGTAAGTCACGACTTAAATCTACTTGCAGAGGGAGAGTCTCCAGCACCGGCATCACCTACCTACAACGCTGGAGTGACGTGCATTGCAAACCTCCCCTCGAGTAAGGAGTCGGACCTCTGCAGAGAATTGGCCGATGGCTGATGATCCAGCCAGACATCAACTGGAAACGTGGCATGGCAGAACCATCCAGCCCAGCCAGCGTTTGACTTTGTCTGATGGCGTGCGAGAAAAAGTTGCCTCTGCGCGAGATTACCCACCACGGAAGCACCGAGCCGAGTTGTGAGCCCGAAAACCCAATTGTCTCAGACAACAACCCATTAGGGCGATTTGGCCGAGGCGCAGGGCCCGGATCAGCCAAGAAGTTGTGTCCTTTTTTTTTTTTTTTCCCATTTGTGGCGCGACCCTGCATGATGTTGAACGCACAGTGCCCAAGGGCCAAGAGCAGGCAAAAGCAGTACACCCTCTTGTGCGGAACGAGTTGCGAGACATGGGAGCGGGAGCTCATTCTACTACCATTGTGTGACAATCGTGAGAGTCACGGTCGTCGGTGCCGTCTGCATGAGAGAGAAGTCGAGGAGGGTACCTCTCGATTCCCGCTCGACGTGATTTGCTGATGCCATGTTGGTGGTGGGTGGGAGAGGAGAGCGCCATGTCTACCGCGCCCGTTTTGCCCAACTCGGCAAGCTTTGAGCTAGGGGAGCTACGTGAAACAAAAACTCTGCCGATGTAGTTATCGAGTGATGGATACCGGCTAGTGTTCGTATATCCATCCACTCAATCCCAGTCGCGAATCGTGATGCCCTCTCTTCTCGTCCTGCCCTGTTATGTGGCTCCTGGCCACGTCTCCTGGAGGCGTCAAGGACTACGTAGTTGCGGGATTTCGGGTGACAGCATCGGGATTGGAAACAGCGTGCCAGCACCGATTCATTTCGGCTACAGAGCCAGTACGGAGTAGCCCGCAATGACATGCACTTGTGGATATGGTTAAACCGACGTAGGTAGAGACGATGGACGAGAGAGAGTGCGGAGTGCCGAGAGAACAACTTCCCGGCCGAGTGTCACGGTTTGTCTTTTCTCAACGAGACTCGCCCTGCACAACGCCGGCAAACAATGCTATGCTAAGTCGCGCCGACCAAAGACCGGTACCCTCCGCCCCTTTGCGGTATTTTCTTTCCTTTTTCCTTCTACTTGCTGTTTCTTTTTTTTCTTTTCCTTTCTTTTCTTCGCGCTGCATATGAAACATGGCTTTCGTTGATACGAATACGGAGTACTCCGTAGGACGCATCACCTGTCTCAACAACAACGCATCACCAGCTGACACGCCACACGATGAACAAAGGCTTCAGCTTGCGGGTCCGCCAGAGGGCAAGGGAATCACCTCGTGTGCGTACTCTGTATGGAGTACAGTTGCGCATCACTTGTCACATCAGCTTCTTTTCGCCCGCCCGATGCTGAAGCCCCTGGCCCTCGCTGTACGGAGTGAGCCATACCATGCCAACAAACACACGTACCGCACGGTCGTGAAGCACCGCGCCAACTTCAGCTCGATACTCCATACACCAGACTCCGTACCATCTTAAGATGGCCTGGATAGTCGTGCGCCGTGGGGGAATGTTGACCTCCTCACACGCTCTTGCTACCGTGCCGGAGACCAGCAGTGCGACTTCTCATTGCGGACTAGACATATAGCTTAGTTACTTGGACGTGGGCAGCCAGTCCGTCCGGCGGCTATTGTTGATGGGGGCGTCCGGCCGACGCTTCCAAGCTGCCTCTTTTGGCATGGGACTCGGTTGCATGGGATAGGATCACAGGAGTCATATCACAGGACGATGGACGAAAGAGGGCTACGTCTACGTCCACACCTGAAGAGACCGGCCCCCCGGATCCCAGGCGCCTCCGGCAAATGAACGTAGTATCCGATCGCCCAGGTAATAGACTTGGCCGATACTCATGGGAGGGACTCGGTACTCCGCGCTGTCCTGCCATATAAAGCCCAAGGCCGACTCCAGAACCGACTGCCAAGAGATTTACGACCAACCGCTTTTGGCCGCAGTGTTATCCTGATGATTAGAATTTCCTGCGCAAGCATTACTCCCCGAGTGCTCGATTGTCGTTGGGGGGGCGTCTTGGCAGAGTCATGTGCATACATATGTTTGGTGTGACGGGTTGGTCCCTGCTCGACGATTTCTACCCATGGCCGGCGTGCCTTGTGAAGCATATCACGGTGAAGTCGCAGATTCCGTGAACTGCCAACTGCCAACCGTCAACGGAGTACTGCAGTAGCAATTTTCCCAGACTCGTGCTCCCACCCATCACCAAGCCAACTTGAAGGGCAAAAATACAACTTCAGTTCCTCGTGTCAGAAACGTGGTGCTTCCCGCATCGCGATGCGTCACCAACACGGCAGTGTGCACATTTGATGCATCGCCGAATAAAGCACCGAAATGGCCGCCTAACAAAAGGAGGCTCCCTGCTGTGGGAGCTGTGCACCGTCCCCGGCCCTCCCACTCGGTTGGGTCTCTATGAATTGCAAATGTTGGCTACAGCCTCGCGGAGGCGAAGAAGAAGAAAAGATGAAACAATCCTCAATGCGCCGAGGGTATGTGCCGCGATGCCCCTAGAGGCCAAGGAGCGAAGGCCGTGGACCACGCTTTTTCACCCATGAACCCAACCGGGAACTAGTAGACCGCCTCACCCAAGCCTGCCAGCTAATTTTAACATGTTGGTTGCCACTGAGCTAGGACCCCGCGGAATTGCCATTGTATCCATGAAACGTGCATGGGTCGGCGATGAAGAGCCAACAGGCGGTTTCAATTCAACAGCCCATGTGGTTCGAAGTTCCGACGTGTTGAGACGGCGTCACGCGCCTGTGCCAACTTTAAGCAGTGGGTGTGGTAAGTTACTTTTCGTTCCGTTCCGTGTTTCGATGACTGAAGTCTGATTGCCTGTCATGTGCTTTGAGGGTGTCTTGCTCTTCGCCCCGGGGACAGTTTGCAACGGCACCGACAGAGCACACGTCGGCCGCCATTGAAAAGCTGTTACCGAGTCGTTTGCACAAGCCGAGTAGAAAAGTCGGTTTTCTAACAAATGTGAGTACCAAACTTGATTGCGTTGAAATCGGAACAAGTTTCTTTGCACAAAGATCTATATGCGGGAAGCAATAAATCATGGCAATACTAGTAGCAGCTGATTGGGCACAGTCCAGTCCTTTTGACTGGCGCTAATACTCTGCCACGTTTACACAACGGTTTTCAACCCACACCCGAGTGAAGAATGGAGAATTTGTCTCGCCTTCTCCTTGTGCGACTGACTGAAGCGATTTGTGTAAGCCGAGGCGGGACACAGGACAGAGACGTGTTGAAGCCACCTGCGCATCTGATATGCTGTACATTAGGCTGGCCGCGAATGGCGCAGTATGATTGTCACCCATATCTCGAGTACGCAATTACCTCGGTACTGAATGCTAATCACTCAGGATGTTTGAGAATTGAGCGTCGTCAATACAGGGTTCCAGCGAGTTCTGCGCCTTGACCGAACGCCACCCGGAATACCGTTGGTGCGGAGCCATACGCGTCGATGGTGAAGGCTGCTGTGGCGGTGCCAACGGGTTTAGCATTGTGCACGAGTTCCAGTCGGAGCAAGACCAACCCCGGAGGGCTCAAATCGAGGCCGAGCAATGTCTCCCGAAACCCAAGCCGCTTCTAGTTGATTCACCATCTCGTACGGAGGCGTAACAAGGCAGATTTCAATGACAGTCTTTAGCCATTGATGCTGTGCTTGTGCTATGACTGTCATTGTCGTTACACAGGAGCGAGTTCGTCGTTTTGGATGATGTCGCCCATTGACAACTCAACGTGTCGCTTTCGGAAGCACGACCCCTGAATGAGGTCCCGCACCATGAATCCCTGTTCTGTGTTCTGTCCGGAACCCAACTTTGAGCTCTCAAAGAGATCAAGCTGTGCCACGTCGGACTGGACGTGGACGTGGACATGCAAAGATGCAGGGGTGAATGCGAAATGTGAATGACACTCGAGGCTGCATCATCAGTGACAACAAACACGGCTTGCCTTGCTTGCTGATACCTTGTTGCAGACACTGTGCGCACATACATGTGCGGAGCGAGCAGTAGTACGGAGTAGTGCTGCGGTCGGCGCCGCCGCCATGGTTTTGCACCAGACCCTTTCACTTTCACGGGCTCGGAGTCTTGGAGTCGGATCACTCTTCCTGTTCAGGGGCCTCGCAAAAGTTAACTCTGTAGCCATTGGGTCTTGGTGATAGCCGTGCGCATCATTGCCAGGACAGAAGTCCCCCCAATCATCGCAGCACATGGCCAGCGACTAATAAGTGATGATGAAATGATTCGTTCGCCTGTTGTTGCTTGTGTTGGTCATTGGTGCTTGCTTGGCAGACCGTCATTTCGAACCCGGCACCTGGAACGTGGTGCCAAGGGGAAACCCGCGCGTTAACCGGCCTTCCAGGGAGGGCAAATGCTTGCCAGGGAAATCGCTCCCAACTCGGGTTAGCAAGTTGGACAAGGATATTGCAGTACTGGAACTGGAAAGGACGAAATACCCTTGCGCGAGGCTACATTTTGCTTGGGCCAGCTCTGCCCGTGGGGATGGGTTGGGATGGGTTGGACGGTCACACCTTGCTCATGAGGGCTGGACTCGAGAGGATTGGGGGGGTAACTAATACTAGTAGTACTAACCTACGGAGTACTAACGGGAAGGAAAGCGAAAAGCTCCATGCAGGTGGCACTTGCCGAGTTGGTAGCTGGGCGGTGGGCGACTGGGAAACTGAGAGACGGAGAGACTGAGAGACTGAGAGACTGAGAGACCCGAGAGACGTCAAGTTTTATTTGTCTTTTTTTCTTTCTTGTCGCTATCCGCATCTTTCTTTTTCTTTCTTTCTCTTGTTTCCTCTGTTTATTCACGAGCCAACAACTCGGTGCTCTATACTCCGTATTCTGTGTTTTATACGTTCCTCGCCTCTTTCATGATCTACAAGCACGTATTGTTTGATGATCTGCGTTTCCGAAAAGAACCAGTCTCCTGGGCCACTCCTGGCTGCCGTATTGCTCCAAATTGATCTATCTGCCTTGGATCTTCCTTGAACTTTCGCCTGTCTTCATGTCCTGCAGCATGATATAGTCTGGAAGCCGACTTCCTTGGCCAGGATCGCATCTAATATTTGCCTCGTACCTACCGACGCTTCTTGTCACTTCATCCATTGTTAAAGTTCTTTGCGCGTATACGGAGCACCCTTGAAGCCTACTCTCATTGCATCATGGGACAGCAAGCAGATTGTCATAGAGGCAGCGTTGTGGCTTTTGAGGGAAAGGCCGACATCGTCTCAACTCAGCTTCGACTTCTTCCTACTTCACCGCAACTTCTCATACTACCGAGTGTGGATTCATACCTCGAATCCGGAGACGAAGACGACGGCCAATGGCTGGATGTGCGTTTTTTTATTCGCCGAGTTCACGATGCTGTCTTGGCGCGGAGTGAGGTTGCGCGGAACTTCTTGAACGGTGCAACTGCAAACCATAGGCGGCTGGTTTTTCTTAACGGAGGCGCCCCAGCAGCACAAGCCCTCTGCATCAAGGAAATAATGAAGCATGAAACTCATGGCGACAGAGCAGAAGCTGAATCCATGTTCCAAGACATCATCAAGGGTGGCTTGGCAGGTCTCGAAAAGCCGATATCAGACATGGGTAGGGAAGACCAAGATGATTTCAATCAGTCAACGGCCACTAACAATGAGGAAGAAGTGGAAGCGGACCCGATTACGAGAGCCATGAGAGCAGCTGATGCCCTCGACCGCCAAACAGCCAACCTGCAACCCTGCAACACCTTCGAATTGGGTCATCCCTGCCGACCACGTAGCTCGAGTTTGCCATTGTATGGATTTTTGGACGAATTCGAGGACTCAACGCCTTTCTACGTATTTGGTCTCGCAAGACCAGATGGAGATGGTGCTCGCGATGAATGTCCAGAGAATCTCAGCGAGCCTCCGACTCCGAGCGTGGTGGTCACCAGTCCGAGACAGCTACCTGAAGATGGATCTCGCCTTGGGCTACCTCTTTCATACACCTTCAATCCCGCTAGCTGCATTGGGGAGACGTATGAATCCATCACTCATGATTGCCAGCTGGAAGCAGCAACTGTCTCGCCTTCGTCCGACGCCTATAGTCTCCGATCAACTGATAAGGTTGTCTACGGAGAGGCCTCTGTCTTGGATATGAGAAATTATTACCGACGAAATTCATTGCATCGAGTAAGATCTCTGGACAGAATCTATAATGCTAGCCCTCGCCTTCGAGACCCCTGTATTCCCTCGGAGTCATGGCCAACAGAACCAGACACGGCAAGAGCTCGGCAGCACCGCCATTCGATAATGTCGGCTTCTGACGCCCAGGATCGCAGGTTGAGCCTGATCAGTCTCCTCGACAAGCCGCGAACCATCACGACCAAGTCACGTCGGTCCATTGGGAAAATCGAAACGATATTAGCCGGAGACAAGGGAGAAAGAGTTTCGAAAGCACCAGAGAACCCTAGACCAACGTACGTTGACCGAGGCACAGATGCACGAAACGATCAACCCGAGGATGTTGCTTTCCAACCAATCTTTCCTCCAATTGAGGATCTCGTCATATACTTCAAGGATGAGTCTTCAGATGCGGTACTAGAATCTGCCGTCAATACATTCAGGAACAGACGATATCCTCATCACTCGTTTCCTCCATTGGCAGCCGATGTTGCAAGTACGGCATCTATAACACTGGTCTATCGACCTTTCCAGGACAAGGGACATTTCGGATCCGTTATGGGCGCAGGTGAACCCAGCATGGCTTCTCCTCAAGCCGAAGACTATGATCCATTTGCTTACACGCAACCAATGTGGCAACCGCAAAAGTCAGAAGAGCACGTTGAGACAGCACCCATTGTGCGGCCCCCAACACCGGCACAAACGCCTCCACCAACCACGTTGAGAGACGTCGAGCACAATGTCCATGAATTCCTCATCACCTCAGGCCATACAGCTGTATCCGTGCAGAATTCACTGCGGTCCATCCTTGGCGAATACTTTCCACCGGATACCCAAGGCTATCGCCAGTTCCAATTTTCTCTCCTCCCAGAGCTTGACGAACTCTGGAAACCCATCTTTCGAGGGGGAGAGCCGGGCAATACACAGCGAAATGACGGCACGGGCACAAATATATTGGCCATTGGCTCTCAGTCAGGTGTTAGAAAGGAATACTCGCTAGCAGTCACCGGTAGATTGGAAAAAGTTGGCAGGAAGTCGTGCGAAATCGTCAAAACAGGTCGAGTTGACTTCAGGTACGTGATAGCCGTCTGTCCTTTCGTCTTGAATAACCCCCTTGCTCACCATAACTTCCTTTGGGGGTTTCCAGGTACCTGCTTGCCAATGCGATGCAAGCTTTTACTGCCCAGAGACTGGCTCATCAGACATCCGACAATCCATTTACCAACTCATTCTTGCTAGCCACCCTAATCGTTCCCCATCTCGAAACCTATTTGGCGCTGCATACCGATGTGCGACATCTGCTCCTCCTCTATCCACCAGAGCATTTAGCGACTGTTTTAGCATTGCAACGACTTGTTGGAGTTGACGTCATGAAAGTGGCGCAAATTGTTGACGCAGACAGCAAGGAGGACTCGCCTTTCACCCATATTCGTGGTGCATCAATCAATAGCAATAAGCCCGAAGGCAAAACTTCGCGTTCATTCTCACCCAGATCTTCGTCCGAGGTTGACATATCCAAAGCCAACTATCTGTTAACCTCCACCGCCTCTGAAGAAGACATTGCCACCTTTGTATCAACGGTATGGGATATAAAGATTGAACCACCTGCGATGGAAAGCTCGGAACAGTCCACTGCGAGAGTTCAAAAGAAGAAGAGGCCTCCGCCACTCAGTATACGCAAGGAGCCTATGTCTTCATTGCCCAAGGTTGCTGATGAAACCCCAGAGTCGCCAATAAGTATCGGTCTGCCAGCTGCGTCTCTAATATCGCCTGAGCCTGCATCGCCTAGTGCGTCCTTGCATGAACCTTTGCCTGTTGAAACACGCAGGGCCCTGAAGTCGACGAAGAGCACCAAGTTCAGCCAAGGCAGGTTGAGGTCGAAAAATGCTCAACAGGCGGAGGCTGAGTGCATGGCTGACTACAACTTCGACGGCGACAGTGATGAAGACATGGATGAGCGCAGACTGATGCCGGTTTTCATGCAAAAGCACTTGGTGCGCAAGCCGAACAGTCGTAAAGCACTCAAGTTTTTGGGACTTGCATAGTTCGGCGTCCAACATGTTAAAAAGAATTGAGCCGCGACCGTCGATTTTCCGTTGACAAATTCGGGCGGTGCCCCTTGATTATGGCCATGCCCACCTCGCCTCTCCTTTGTTCCTTTGCTTCTACTTGTTTATTTTGGTTTGAAAACTTTTTACTTGCCATTGCGATTTCGGAGACGAGAGTGATTTCCCTCGAGACGTTAAATCAGAGTGAGAAGCATGTACGTTAGATCAGATATGATTTGGACTGAGCGAAGCATCAGGCAGGCAGTACTTTCTTTGGACACGGAGGCAGACGTATCGAATGGCTGGCGGGCGGGGGCTTGCAATTTGAAAATAGCTTGGAGCAGGGGCGGTCGGTGGTTGGGAAACGGCTGGAGAATTCGTTCTACTCGTAGTCCATGACTGATACATCTCTTTCTTCGACCTTCCCCTCCCTTGGTCTGGTAAAGTGAAATTTGGTGCGGCATCGTTGAGGGGATAGGGAGCGTGCCACACCAGAGCCGTTCCGACAAAGACCATTCGGCTGGGTCATGCAAATACCCACGTCCAAGTACGGAGTAGATACTTGAGTTAACTATTCCGCCGCCTGGGAACAGGGTGTCTCCGGCATCGCCGTCCAGCCTCGCAACGGAGGAGCAAAGCACAGCACACATGGTCCATGACAGTTGGGTGCAAAGTTCAAGGTTCCCTGTATTAATGCCCGTTCTCGCAGAAAATTACAGACACAGACACACAAAAAAAAGGGGGGGAGTGAACACTCCCCCGTAACCCCCTAGAGCAAACGTTGAAAACAACACGGCAGAATAATAAGCGAATAAGTAGTGATAAGAAAAAGAGACAAGACACGGTGGATGCGTCTCGCCTGGTAAAATAGAAGGACCCCTGTGTCTACCTACATGTTTTCGTCACAAAGGGGGGAATGTAGCATGAGCCTCATAACTCTCCTTATCCTGTCTCCCGGCTCAGCTGTTCCTGTCTCGTCTGAATCGGATCGTCTCAATGCATAGCGTAGCAGAGTGTTTGGTCTTGCGGATCGGTCGTAGAAGTAGAGACATGGGGCAAAAAATCCAAATGGACATGATTCAGTCTATGCGCAGAGGAGGACAGAAATAAACGGGAATGGAATAAGTCGTAAATGTAGCCTGCGCCAGTCACTTCCCTGGCATCGCGCTGCTCCCCACGTGCCCCGTCACCGACTCTGACTCCAGTCTTGAAGTACCACGGCTATTTAGCAGCAGCTGTTGCTTGAAGCAGAGCCGACGCCCTGGCCCTGCCCAACTTGCACGCTTGGCTTGGTGTTGTTGGCTGTCGTTGTGCCCATACGCTCTTTGATCTGCCGGGCCATGGTCAAGAATGCTTGCTCGACGTTGCTGGCGTTCTTGGCAGAGGTCTCGAGGAATGGAATGCCCAGGGTGTCGGCGAATTCCTGTTTGCAGGGTCAGCCAGTGACGTCTTGGCGCGTGATTGTCGCGTCCCCATGAGTATTTTGCTCCGAGCCCGCGTCGGGACTTGGGCCGTTCAGGCGCATTCGCCGGCCGCGGAGTCCGAACTTGACATCTTACCTTGGCAACAGTGTACTCGACCACCTTCTTGTCCGACATGTCGCTCTTGTTACCAACCAGAAGCTTGTTGACACCCTCGGTGGCATATCGGTCAATCTCCTGTAACCATTGCTTGACATTGTTGAAAGAGTCCATGTCGGTGACGTCGTAGACAACGCAAATGCCGTGGGCACCGCGGTAGTAGGACGAGGTGATGGTTCGGAACCGCTCTTGGCCAGCAGTATCCCACTGTATTGATGGTGGCGGTTAGCGCTTCCAGTTTGTTGGCGTTGCGGACGAGACATAAGCGGGTGTTCACACGCACAATTTGAAGCTTCACGGTCTTGCCATCGAGCTCTATCGTTCGGATTTTCTAGTGACAGGTCAGTTGCATCGTTCCGTAGAGACAAGGACGGGGTGGATATTCCCGCATACGAAGTCGACTCCAATGGTGGAAATGTAGGACTCGGTGTAGGTATCATCGGCAAATCGAAGCAACAAGCAAGACTTGCCCACACCGGAATCACCGATGAGAAGCAGCTTGAAGAGATAGTCGTATCTGATTGAGCTGGTTAGGATCCGCACAAGGCTTTTTTCCTTGGACTGCCACAGCCAGTATAGGCGTGTTGATTTCGTGGCGTTGAATTCGGAATGCACTCTGTCAAATTGCAGTCAGCCAGTCTCATTCGTCTCGTCAGGAGGTTGGCGCCCAGGCAGAAGGGACCTGGAGGGTCGGCGCGTACTACTCAGGGTTCATGGCGGCAGGGTTGAAGGTATTTGCCAGAAAAGCGGTAGGACTGGTGGACAGTGTCGGCGGGCGACGGCCAGGCTTGCGGGTGCGATGGGAGGAGGGGAAACTGCGGTGGTGATGATGCGAGGAGATCAGAGAAACCAAGGCTACGTGGGTGTGAGACGAAGGCCCGAGTACGTCAGGGACGAGGGCGGCGGGCGCAGCAACAAAGCGACGGCGGCAGCTGACCGGTCACGTGCCGGCGACCTCGCAGGTGGTCTTGTGGGACGTGGGACGTGGGACATGGGACATGGGACAACATGCAGGATCCCGAACGGACAAACAAAGATACAGGGTGATGAGTTGGCACTCGGTATGACATCCACGGGTGTCAAGTCATGAGGCCGACGGGGATCCTGTTCTGCAGAGATGTCTATTCGTGCATGCGCCAGAGACGCCTGGTCCTGGACACATCCTCGACACGACTTTGCAACACATGTTCCAGGAGGCGGCGGGCGGCGGCGACATAGGACTAAAACAATCGCAGGCTGCCGCTCACTCAACGAGCTGCTTGTGATAGATCAGGCACAGCGTCGCAGCGGCATCGCGTCGCTTCGGCATCTCTAACGTGACATGTCCAAGTGTATTGTATGGAGTACGTGCCTGCGTGCTTGAGAAGTTGTCTAAATAAGCAGCGCACCTACCTACCTAACTTAAGTGATTGTACTTAACTTAAGAAGTACTTAGGTAGGTACTTCGGTACTTTGGGTATCCCGACCCCCCGACAGCCGGACGTGGGGCGAAACCGACGTTTCGTCAACTGTCTGCATTTATTATTATCGTCTTCATCATCATGCCCAGCCACCAGCTGGCCCCATTGCCTTTGACTTTGTTGAGGATCAATTGAAATTTGGGACGTCTGCTCTCCGACAGGTCGCCGACACGGGCATTCCAAATTTATGGCGTAAGTAAGTAATATCTAGTACGGAGAAGTTACGTAGGGGTGCCGTCACTTGAGCCGCCCTGGTCCGCTCCGGCGCATCGGCCCCACAGTCTCTTGGCCCTTATTTGGCTTGCCAGCAAAAGTTGTCCTGTCATGTATTCATCATTGTGTAGCTCCTATCCATGTGACAAAATCGCTACCCGCTCACTCACACACTCTCTCCCTCACGGCCTCGCTCTTGCTCTCCCACATCACTCCGCAAGTTGCCTGTATTCGTTTTATTCTTCATTGTTTTTCTACCACCAGTCGCACGTCGGCCACAAATGACTTGACTCGAGCCATTTCGTTTCATCTTGATTTTTTTGCCTCGTCGTCCGTCGTCGTCGTCGTCACCAAGGCTGCGCATTTTAGCTGCGACCATCCATCCACCCTCAACCCTCCGACGCAATACCCTCCCCGACAAGCCGTGGAACCTCAACACCGTCCCACGCCCAGGCTGGTGGCCGTAGTCAACGCATCTTCATATCTATACATTCACTCACCCGCCGATGCGGCCGGTCGCTGTCGTCGACGAGCCGGTCTTGACCTCCGATGGCTGCGCCGCTGCGCAACGCAACACGATCTGCCGGTAGCCCATCGACGCTCCGGGCCTTGACAAGTCTGACCACATCTGCCTCCTCCCCCCTCGCACGACTCACAACAGTCAACTTGCCGCCCGCGCCGCCATCTCTTGGTTCGAACCCGGAGAACCTCCTGCAAACCCCTCCGGTGGCCCCCCAGCCCCTGCCGCAGACACACTTCGGCACGACGACGCCCAAGCTGGTGAGGGATCCCCAGGGCGAAGAAGCTCCAGATCCGAACAAGGCGAAGCTCGGCAGAAGTAAGTTCCCGCGAAACCACAAATGGGACGTCCGCCTAGAAACCGTCAACAAGCGCTGACACGAAGCAGCCCTGCGAATCCTCCAAGAACGATTGCCGACGCTGCTACAATCTCCGCTGCCCCAAGAAATCCTAGCCCCAAACATCAACCTCCAGCTCTTCCCCACGACACACCCCCATCTGCCCACCGTTTCCGGCAAAGTCGCCTACAATGCCGCCCTCTGGACGTCGCCAATTGCCTGGAACCGCGTCCCCATCATCGGCAACGTCAAGCTCGAAATCCTCGCAGAACGCATGACATCCGAACCGCTGACCTTCCTCCCGCGTCGGCCCGGCGCCATACCCGAGCAGCTCGTCGTCCGCTGGTGTGAGAAGCGCCGGTCCAACGGAGAGACTCCTGAGCCCGGCGGAATCGCGAGATCCCTCTGGCGCGGGCGCGGCGTCGACCCTAACAAGGCCTTCACCGGGCTCTTCATATTCGACTTTGACGCCGAGGGCAGGGTCCTGACGCACACCATCGAACAGGCGCAGGAGGGCGGCAATTGGGAGAGGGGCATGGGCGCCAAGTTTGTGGGCTTGACGGATTGGCTTCTGGGCGGCATGAGGCATGGCAACGACAACCCAATACCCATGTTTGGGAGCTTGAAGAAGACGGCGACGACCACGTAAACACGTGGACGAGAGAGCGAGCCAAGAGAGAGCCAAAAAAAAAAAAAAAAAAAAAAATTTCCGATCGTCATGCGCTTCGGCCTACTTACCATATGTGACATTTCAGCCGGTCGTGCGTCCAAGGGGAATGCGAGCGAGTCCGTGTACATTAGTTGTTTTTTCCTTTATTATGAGACTCCACACCATGTATGCTCTGAAATAACGAATCCATCGAAGAAAAACCGACATGACCACTTGTTCAAGACGGGATTGTGTCGGGTGTAAAGTTGCGAATTCAAGCACGGAGCATCGTGCTCGTCCTCTACAGCTATGGGCAAGACCAAAACCCTACCGTCTTGGCAACTCGTCCACGTCCCTCTCTAAGCAGGGTACTGCACCAAGTCCAATGAGTTTCCGTCTTCATCTCGCCGAGGCTTGGAGTCCCCTTTTCTCTGCCCCGACTGGCCCCGACCAACAACTCTCCCGACAGTTGGCATTTCACAATATTCTGCCTTTCTAGTCGTACAGCGTCGCATGAAATACGACCGACAAAGACACCCCACCCCCTCTTAAAAAAAAACGAAACCAACAGGCGTATTTGCGAGCCAAGGACTCCAAGTTGTTCTTCCCGCAAGAAGGCACAAAAAAAAAAAAATCTCTGCCACTGGATGCCGCTCCGTTTCGCCCGCTTCTCTCCACAGCCGGGAACAAACGCCTGCTGTTGCGGCCGCACTTTCAAAACACAGCCTCGCCCAGATTCTCGCCTTCAAAGCCCATGGTAGCCAGCTTCTGTAGTCTCTTCTTGTCCTTGGCCTTGTCGTGGGCCTTCTTCTCCTCGGCCAGTTTCCTCACAAGCTCCAGATTCGCGGGCTCAAAGTTCGGCGGCGGGTCGTCGTCCTTGTCGAGGTCGATCTCGCCCAGCAGGAGCACGTTCTCGCCCCGGACGAGGAAGATGCCGTGCGCTACGTCGGCATAGTAGCCTTGCGGGGTGGAGGCGTCCGTCCCGGGCTTGGGGGCGAATATCCGCTCCGTTGTTGACTGCAAGACCAGGTTTGCTGTTTTTGTTTGGTTCGCAGCGCGCGTTAGAATGAAAGCACACCGTCAATGACTCTCGCGTGTCGGCGCATTCTGGTCTTGGCATAAAGGCCTACCGAACTGATCCCAACTTCTCAACACGCCAATCAATTTCCTTCCGTCGCGGAGGGCAACCATGAGCTTCTCTGTGGAATTGCGTCAGCCCGAAGCGCCCTGCTACGTGTCCGCGTCCGCGTCCCGACGACGCTGGGCTATCGCAAGGGGCCACGACATACTGTCTGTCAGATCGAGCAGTTGAGCAGCCGTTGTGAACATCTGCGGGGGCAGTTGAGGCGCGCCTTGCGCACGACCTCGAGCTCCGGGGGGCGGGGCGACATCGGAGATTGTGAGGTTTTCCATGTCGTCCTCCTATCTCATGTGTCCTGTTCAATGTTTTGCGGCGAGTGGGTTCTAGTTGCGAGACAGTCAATGTTTGTCCTCATGGGGACATGGCGCAACGTTCCCGGCTGAGGCAAGGCTAAGAAGGGTGGATTAAAACAACAGGTTCGCGATCAACGACTAGCAGACACGCGGATTCGGGTTAGGAGTTGTGACTTTCCCTCTCGTCGTCGTCATTTCCTGGTTGTCTTATCGATAGATAAAATCACGTGACGTGAAAATTGATGCAGGGAAGCGCGGGGCAGCAAGGTTTGGAAAGCCCGAGGCAGAAAAAAAAGTTCAACCGAGGGCTTGTTGGAGCCGCCCACATCTGCATGAAATGTGGCCAAGGTATACTCCGTAGACAATATCTTGACAATGTGATACCGCAGAGCTCCCTTTACGAAATATTATCTGTTCAAGCATGCGTCAGTGACTAACTGGTCGTGTTGCCAACTTTCAACCCGTAGATTGCATGACGACCATCTCAATGCCTTACGAGGCACACTACGGGAAGGCCAAGAGGCTCAACATAAAACACGGCGGCCGACTGTTCATGGGGTTCGCCATCACTGAAGCAGGGCGACCCGCGCGAGGTGAGAAACATGCCATGACTACAGACATAAACTATTTTATAGTTTTACTGTCTTTGGCGGTTTCTTGTATTTTTCTGACAAAAGCTGGGCTGGGGAAGCTGTGTGTGGCTTTTCTCCATTCCCACCTTGCGTAACCGACAAAGTCGGCATCTTCCAACCCAAGTTTTTGGACCTGCATTAGGTGCCAACATGGCGGCATGCCAGCTAGTAGTGATTCTTTTCTTCTTGCTGTCGCTTCCACTTTTTTTTTTCTTTTCTGGCTGAGCAAGGTATACAGGCGGCATGATAAAGTCAAACAAAAAAAAAGACATAAAACATATCTATCGTCTCTCCATCCGCTAACGCCATAGTATATGTGCACAATATATATTCTTCTCCCAATGATGCGGAATTGATAGAAGAAAGTACAACGCGTAATCATTCGGGCTCGGAACTTCGCACATGGTCCAGAAAATGCTCGCGCTCCTTGTGTTGGCGCAGTACTCTGGCGTGCTGCGAACTTTCCCTTCGAAACGCCGCTTAGACCTGAGAAAAGCTCTTGACTTGCCAATAGTGTCTAAGCTTACAGACACAGTGTTACTTGTAGACGCCTCGGTGAAGAAAGTACCTGGAATAGAATGCGCTCGAAAAAAAATTGGCTGCCAGGAGAGGTAGAGTATGGCCTCTACAATTGGTTGATAGTAGAGCGCTGAAGCGCTTCCTGCAGCTCAGGTCTTGATGCCAAGGCGTCGAGAGCCTGGGTATAGGTAAACCACTGACGCTCTCGTTTGTGCCTCTCGGGCCAATCCTCAACCTCATTGAGAACGGTGGCCTGGAAAAATGAATATCGTGATCTGTCCTTGGACGACTTGGGAGGACGCTTTTCGTCGATGGTGCCCAGATCATAGTCAATTTGAATGGTGATTCCAGCCTCCTCCCAGGCTTCGCGTGTAGCCGCCTCTTGGCAAGACTCGTCCGTCTCCCATCCTCCCTTTGGGAGAACCCATCCTTTGCGCCGCGTCGACTGTATGAGAAGAACGAAATTTTGATCGGGACTTAAGGGGACGACTCCTGCGACAAGTCGCTCGCCTTTTGAGTTGTACCCTATATTCCGGGCGAAAAACGTCAGTTGTCCCTGCCACACCTGCAGGAGTCACAGGTGACCAGGAACGAAAGGGCTTCGTAGGCAAAATAGCAGAAGCATCAAGTGCATAGATGGGTTCGGCAACGTTGGAATAGTCCACAAGGAGAAGATCCAACGGATGGCAACCAATACTCACTTTGCTTATTTCTTCCAGTCCGAGACTGCATCGACCGACCATCGGACGTCTCTGACCCAGGGCCAGACATGCTAGAGGATATCGAATTCGAACGCGTGATGGTTTGCGACACCTCTTGCTGTTACGTCCAACCCGGCCAACTACGAGGTGCTGACGGGAAAGCGCGGAAGGGGGGGGGGGATGACCTGGCTGAGGCGAGCTGCAAATCTCGCGGGGTGGATTGCGGCGCTGTGACGCCGTCGTCGAGGCTTGCGTCTTGCAGCAGAAAAAGAAGGATCAAAGCGAACCACCACACATCGTCGCCTTGGTTGATCTGGGTGAATGTCGTACAAGGACCAAAGTGAAGAAAAGAAAATGAGTAACAGAGAGGTGTGAACAAATCGCAGAGTCAAGCTTGGAGGAGGGCAGAGAGGCAAATGCCCCAGGCTGCTTGGTTCCCGGGGTGCGGAAGGAGCCTTGGGGAGGTACCAAGTCAGTGGTTAACACTACCCAGGTACTTAACTTACCTGAGGCGCCTAGGTCGTAACGACTTACTTGGGGGCCCCCAGTGGTCCAGGTGGTCCCGGTCCAACTGGTCCAGCCGGTCTTGGTGCTGGGTTTGGCTCAAGTGGGTGGGAGGAGCGTGGCGCCGGTCAGGGCAAAGCTGGGCTCGACAACTCGACCCGCGATGGATGCCTTCTTGTCAAGCGGAGGCTAGTTCCTATATTGCCTGGGTACCCAGGGCGTTTACAGAGAGACTGCAGACGCGGTCAATCACCAAATGGCGAGGACAAGCGGCCAAAGATCTAGTAGTCGAGGTTCAGCGACAGTGGCCAGCGTTGGGTTGGGAACATTGAAGGCAAGTTGCAGGACGCAGGACGTAGCACGCGAGCAGGGGGGATTGGCATTGAGCGGCCGATCGAATCGATAAAGAAAAGGCGGCCTCGGCGCCAGGCCACCCGACGCTGTGCGCCATGGGTTCCACGACTGCCTCCCTAGGTAGGTAGTACTGTTGACTGCCTGTTGCTTACTACAACAACAAACGTAATAGGGACCCGGCGCGCCAGATGCGGTGAAGCCAGATAATGAATGCCCAGGTGGTTATGGACAAAAGTACGTACCTCGAATGTCGGTCGCAGAGGGTCGTGGGGATTCTGTTTCGCCCGCCTCCGTGGTAAAAAGCTGTCCCGAAGACGTCTTGTAGTACGGAGTACTGAGTTCGAGGGCCAGCGCGGAATTAGCGGGACTAAGAAAAAAAAAAGAAAAAAGGACGTAACCAATCAGTGTCATCACTGATCAGAGGTAGCGGCCAGATACTTACTTAAGTACCTACCAAGTAAGAAGTAGGTTAAGTAAGTACCTAAGTAGGTACTTGGGAGTTGGCCCCATCAACTTCCGACGTCCCCCAACTGGTCCCAATAACAGTTGTTTGTTTGTGCCAGTTGCGCGAGAGCCGAGGAACAAGCCGCAGGCGAGGCCGGTCCCACGGCCGACGATTGTACAAGGCCGTTTTTATCTGGCTTCAACCTTGTACTTGCCGTACCCCCAACGGGCCACAAGGCAACACACTCATGTGCATGCGGGTGAAGGTTCACCACGAAAATGCATCAAGCTCGGGTGTGGCCAGGCGACGTCTACTTGCTATTCCTTCCTGCTCATCAACCCAAGAAAATTCGACACCCGCCCTGAGCGCCGCTCAGTGGCCTCCTGGTTAATCATATGATATCGATTGATACTACGGAGTACTCCGTACTTCCTATTCTTCACTGGGCTATCATCGACCATCCTGGTGTACGAGCTGGGGGCGTAAATGCGGCACGGTGTGGACGGCACAGGACTGTGTAATAGAGCAAGCCAAGCCTAGATTTGACCATTCCCAGCGCCCGCCTCAGTCCTTGATGCCTTTCATATTTGGCCATCTTCCTTGGACTCTACGTCTCCCGAGCACACTGCTGTGCGACCAGCGATGTCAAGCCATTCCTGAACGCTTCAACCGCGTATGCATGCCCACGCACCCACGCAATCACGCACCAGAGAAGCCGCCGACTTCCGTGAAGAATGAGTGGTGAAGCAGGAGCAGGGCGTGGATCTGGCCAGCACATGCATGAGTGAGGGTGGTAGCCAGATTCACAGCTCTCGGACGCTTCTTGGGGCCGGAAGAGGCTGGCAAGCTGCCCGGGGCTGGACTGGACAAGAGCTCAGCGCACAGTTGCATATGCAACGTAAATGGGAAATGATATGACCAGAGGCAGAAAGAAAAGGAGGGTCACGCACCTGCAGCCCAGCGTATCCTGGCCAGGTGCCGCTGGTCAAAGTTGAGTCAAGTCGAACAGGCACGCTGTCTCGATCGGGGCGGGTGAGTGAGCTGCGACGCGAGGGTGTGAGGGTGCGACGTGTCTCAACGGCAAAGTGAACGGGACCTGAGCTCCAAGATGCTGGTGGACAGCCATGATTCGCATTTGAACAACTTCGGGAGCATGTGTATTCGGCGGCATGTGTGTTCGGCGAGCGAGAGACGGCGACAAGGCAGACGGGACGACTCCCAAGTCAAAGGTCTCGGCGACAAATGAGAATAGTATCAGATTGGAATAATCAACTTTTCGAAACTTGGGTGGCTACGGCAGGGTTGGTCTCGACTCTCGCGACACGATTCGTGCATGCATCCAGACGATCTCTCGTGCTCATCATGTCTAGAAATAACGGAGTACTTTTCCCGGCAAAAGGGACAGAGCGGACGTTTATTAATATCTGTAGAGCAACACGTTGGAGGCCGAGGCGCCAAGGCACGTCTGGCCTCCTAGCCCCCCTCCTTGGCCCTGCCCCTCGCGTGCTCCTGCCTGTTAGCATGACATGGACGTCCGGGGAAGCAGCGACCTGCATCCTTGCTACCTCGTCTTGTCATGTTTCGTCGTGATGTTGCAAATAAACTCATGATTGCATTGTATTCGCTCTCAAACTGCTTGCAGTTCACCTCGGCCTCTGCTGGAATCACCAGCGACAGCATCCCGTCAGACGAGCCGCCCACTGGTCCGACACCCCGTCGTGGTCTCCAACGACTGGTGCTATTTATTGGGTCCGAAGCACCAACGCTCGTCTCACCCGTTCACCCCTCCTCGTCCATCCACGCCGTCATCACCGCCGGCTCCGTTCTCCGCGCCCGTGCAAGACGACGACTGCTTGATCCGCAGAGGCACACAGCTATTGCCAGCCCAGGTCCCCTCCCAGCCCTGGATCCCGAAGTCTATTTTGAGAGAGGGATTGCCAGCCAGCCAACCCTATTTTCCTCAAGTTGTCACAACCGACTCAGACATGGCGTTGATATTTCGACTTGCTGGACTACGACTTGATGCCAGACACTGATAAAATCACTCGGCTCCGTCCCTCACACATCGGCTTTCCTCTTGCGGCAACAAAGCAGCTGCCTGGGTAGGTGTCATTGATTCGACACGCAAGTAGTCGGTAGACACTGCCGGACCACTCAGAGAGACCCCCCTCGGGTTCACAGAATCAAATATCCTGTCTTGTTCGGCTGGGACGGTGCTTTTGTCTGCCATGGAACCTAGTCCGACAATTGGCATCATGCAGACCCCTCAAGACACCTCAACCAGCTACGAATATATTTCTCCAATCGGTGAGTTACCGTCGTTGTTATTCCTTCCCTTTCCACCAATCCAATCCATCAAACCCCACGTGCCCTTTCTTTATGCCCCAGTTGGTTCAACCGGCCATGCTACTGCCGTTCCTTATTCTGCCGCTGGCCTTGGATATTTGCATTGATTTGGCTCACCCAACCTCCATGGGCTTGGGGTATCCAGTTGCCAAGCTGAGTAGGTAGTCTAGAGACGGCAAGCCATTGCATGAGCGTTACTGCACGATGCGCAGTTTACATTACGTTGTGTGTAGAATTTTCTTCGGCCAACTCTACAGTTGAAATGCAACAACGGCAAACCCACTTCGAGCCGCTGGGGCTTGACTCGGCTTCTCCTCATGTTTGGCTGTCAATGATCCTTTGACATTGCCCTGCAATACACCTACAAACCTGGCCAAAGTCACCCAAATATGCAGTGTGCTGACGAATGCCACAGGATATGCAAACTCTTCGAGATGCGGTTACTGCCGCACTCAGGGCCAGAGTCAGTCAAAACGTGAATTACCTTGGCCCCTTTTCAGTTTATGGATTCTCTGTTTTACGGCTGCCGAGCATGTGAATCTCCGCCGTCACTCTGTCAGCCAAATTATGGTTCACTTGGAAGTATTAATGCATGGCTTGACAAACACTGACATTGACAACCTATCCAGGTTATTCGTATTACGCAAACGCCACTTCTTTGAGTCCAAAATTTTATCAAATTCTTCTTGACCGATGTTGGCGTCGATCGGGCAAACTCTTGTACCGGCCGGACCAGAGGAGGTCGTGCTGCCCCCATTATACGATTCGGCTGGATTCTGGCCGATTCAAACCATCGAGAGACCAACGCCAAACCGTGAATCGTTTCAACAAGTTTGTATTGGGGGAGTCATATATTAAGGACGCAGCACGCCTTTACCCAAAATCCCGCAAGGAGGTCAAAAAGAGGGACAACGAATTCTGCCTTGTTGATCGTGTCCACGAAGCGGAGTATGGAAAATTGCAAACTCCACCAGAACCTGCTCATAAGCTTGTCATCACTCTGGAAGACGATGACTTCACCGAAGAGAAGTACCAGGTTTATGACAACTATCAAAGAGTTGTCCACAAGGACCCCCCCGAAGACAGGACTCCCCGAGCATTCAAGCGATTCCTTTGTAGTTCTCCCTTACGAAGGGAAGTCATGGTGACACCTGATGGACAGGAACGCAGTTTGGGGTCATATCATCAGTGTTACCGGCTTGATGGCGTCCTGGTTGCCATTGGGGTACTAGACCTGCTACCCGACTGCGTCAGCTCCGTTTATTTTCTGTATCATGAAAGCATTCACAAGCAGACCCCAGGCAAGCTGGGGGCAATGCACGAAATTGCTTTGGCGAAAGAAGAAGGGTATCGCTGGTGGTACCCTGGGTTTTATATTCATAACTGCCCCAAGATGAAGTATAAAGTCGACTACTCCCCGCAATTCATCCTCGACCCCAACAGCCTTGGCTGGGACCCATTAGACGAGACAACTTTGAATCTCCTTGACCGGAAGCCGTTTCTCAGTCTTAGCATCGAAAGACAAAAAGCTTCCACTGCTGACAGCGAGTCCCGGACTAGTGAGCATCAAGGATGCAACACGTCAAAGGTTCCCAATCGGGGTGGCCCAACTCGTCCCAGAAACAGCACAGTTACAGGGGGCCGCAACAACGGGGAGGAGCAAAGTGAGGATGGGAATGAAGATGGAGATTCAGGGTCCCTTTTTCTGTCAAGCATGCCGGGTATTACTTGCGCCTCCGATATGGAGCAGGTTGATCTGGATCATATTGCCTTGAAGGTGTTTCCCACCGGACCACTATTCGAGACTTCTGATCTCCTAGATTGGGACTCTAAGAGCATCATGGACTGGCCCGGGGTTAAGGCATCGGTGGCGGAATTGATTGCCGCCCTAGGGCCAGATCTAAAAGGCTTGATCTGTTTAGATATGACACGTGAGAAAAAGGTTTAGGGGATGTCTTAAGCAGCCAGTAGTGTAGGTTCGATTAATAAGCCTTCAATCACCAATCCTAGTAGCTCTTACACGTAGGATACGTCCTTGACGGTAGATTGGAGTCCCAGTGCCATGGTATTTCGCTCTATTTTTTTTGTCTCCTTCCCTTCTCTACTAATCACGATTGGTATTGTATTTTGGCCAGGTAAGCACACTAGTATCCAACCGTCCCAACTCCCCACTCCCGTCGCGGAGCTTATCTTATCAACAAAGTTCATCTGGTTTGCAACTCGAAGCTAGAGCTTCAAGAGGGCAAAAAAAATCCCTTACTGGGGACAAGCTTTCATTTCAACGTCGGTTCAGTCAGCAAGTCCAGGCAGCGCCAGCACATGCCACGGATCGACCAATCTCTCGTGGCAGACGATCTATTTTCGGGATCATGGCCACTCAACAAACCCTTCTTTCCCCCGCCGAACTCGCATACCTTCACAGCTCACTCTCTCTCACCCCACCGATCCGCCCCGATGGTCGTTCCTCGACGCAATTTCGGCCATTGACCGCCGAGACAGGCATTCTGCCCGGGACGAATGGCAGCGCTCGCGTCTGCTTCTCGGACGGCACAGAAGCCATTGTCGGCGTAAAGGCAGAGGTTGAAAAAACGCCCGGCGTGCGGGACGCCCAAGACCACGACGGCAAAGCGAGGGCCCTGGCCGACGCCGACGCCGCCGCCGCCGCGGATGACGCAAGCTCGAGAGCCAGAGGGGACTGGCTGGAACTGACGATCGAGATACCCGGTCAGAGGGACGACGAGGCCTCGACGGTGTTCTTGGCAGAGATGCTGAGAGAGGCGCTGCTAGCAGATGGCGAATTCGCCAGGAAGCTGTGGATCAACAGGCGGTTCCACTGGAGATGCTGTGTCGATGTGAGTCGTCGTGTCGTGCCGTGCCGGCGCCGTCTTGCAGGAGGCCAATTATTCTGACTGTTGGGATGTCGTTTTTTGGGCGACCAGGTTCTGCTGATTTCGCCGCCCCTGTCGTACCCGCTTCCGCTGCTTTCTCTGACGTCGCACCTTGCGCTTCTCGCGACGCGGCTGCCGCGGCTCAGGTCGGAGGGCGACGAGGACCCCATGTTCGACGACGACTGGGAGTCGTCGACGTACTTGTACCCGGTGGGGGGGGCTTCCGCCGGCTCTCGACCTCCGATTACGCTGTTGGTGATGGGGGTGGGCGACAACATCATTTTCGACCCGTCCAAGGAGGAGTTGGCGGTTGCTGAGACGGCGCTGGCCGTGTCGGTCGGAGAGGTGAGGAGGGAGACGAGTGCGGGAGGGATGAACGTCGACTCGGGACGGGAATTGAGGCTGCTGTCGATGAGGATGGTCGATCCGCCTTCGAGATTGACTCCGCCTGGCGTGCCTAACGCGGTCAATGTCGCTACGAATGGAGCACCAGCTGGCTCCACGGCGAAGCAACAGACCGGTGGTGACAGGGCTGTGCAAGGCGTGTGGAAAGCACCGTTGGGGGGGAGCAACTTCGGCGTCATAAACACCATGGTGGAAGCCGTACTCGAAAAGGGCGGTGTTGTAGATGAAATCTTGGATGGGTTGGAAAGCGTGGATTTAACGTGAAGGGGGATTCACGGGGCGCAAATTTCAAGGCCTCTGGGCATTTTGCGAGTTATGACTTTGTCTACGTGGCTCATAAACAGGCACGTTTGCATGGCGGCCCAGGCGTTACGTGTACATTGAGAGCTAGGAGTTATCCTAGGAGGGTTCCCAGAGTAAAAATTGAAAACTAAAAAAAAAAGGAGCAAAGATGTGGTCCGTCACCAAATGCCAAGCCATTTCTTCGGTTCCGGCTTTGCGCTCGACTCGGATGTCTGAGGCAGTTCTCGTCCAAGCGCGGCCGCCTCCAGTTTCTCTTCTGACTTTTCTCCGTCTTTCCCGAAGACCATGGAAACAGGATCCTTGGTCTCGATGCCGTGTACCTTCATGTAGTATTTCCTCTTGGCAACGTCATCCAGATACATGGTTCGGTGCTCATGGGCCTTTGTGGCCTTGTCCTTTTCGTGTAGGGCAATGACGTTTTTCCACGCGGCAAAAAAGTACGTCGGGTGATGCCAGAGATCGGACATTGGCGGAACGAGGTCCTTGAAGGGCGAGTTGCACGCGTAATTCATGAAGAAGGTGTATATCGCCATGGCGAACAGGGCCCCCTGGGGCAGCAGCGTTAGTGATTGTGACGTTTGGCATGTCCATCTACTACTTGCACGCAATCCCGAGATGGGCTCACTTCGCGAGGGACAGAGGAGCGAGATGGGGCCGTACCATGGTAATAAAGGTATGCAGCAGCCTGCTATGCCAGAACCAATGCGACCATGATCCCTCGGGGGCCATGAGACCCGGGTAATGCCTCTTGTTCTGGGCAGAGACTTCAGCCGCCGTCAGTTCAGGGCCGTAGTGCCTGGGCATCGTGTTCCGCTTGAGCCGTGAGCCGTGGGAGGGGGGGCTGAACTTGGCGGGCTTCTCGAGCACGGCTGGCTTTCGGGACTGGCTGTTGCCGGTCGACGGTGACGACGATGCGTATCTGATGCGGACATTTTGCGAGAGAGGTATGCGGACGCCGCGCCAGAGGGGGCCCTGCAGAGGCAGTAAGAAGCGCGGGATAACGGTTCTCGATGTCATTGTGTGAGGCGGGGATACGGTTGTAGGAGGTGCAAGCTATCACGTTGCATGGAGACGGCTCAACTGGTTAGCTTGAGATGTTGGGGGCGTTTTTTTTTTTTTGGGCGAAAACTACTTCTTCGTTCACGATGGCAGCCTGAGAGCTCCCTTGGGAGTGTTGGCCTTGGACCCTCAGGCATATCTATGGTGCTCCATAGTGCAAGGCTTTTGCCTGGCATCGGCTGACTGTGCCGGGGGGCGCGAATGGGGCAAAGGGGGCAAAGGGGAGTAATTATAGGGGCAGTACTCCGTAGTGGCAGCAGTGGGGGCAAAGTGGAGGCAGACTGGGCACATGAGCAGCCGAGCAAAACTCTTGTTGCCGTTTTACGTTTTTCTTGTCCGAGTTTACCCGGCGCGGTTGATGTGGCGGGTTTGCGAACTGCGTAATTGCAGCGCTCTGATTGGGCTGCGCCGCAGGCCACTGTGGCTCAACCATCCTAGAGAAAGTCCGGTTTTCTGTCCATGTCCATGCTGTCATAGTCGAGTTACTATTTTTTTTCCCTTTCGGCCTTGGACGCTCCTCGCCTCTTCTCTTCTCCCTCACAACTGCATCATCGAAATCCCCGTCGTCACAGACAACGCTCGGGATTCCTTCTCGCGAACCGTTTCTACCAACACACTTTCTGGTAAATCCTTTTACCTCAATACAACTAATCCAAAATGGCTGGCGGTAAGTCTTACGTTCGTGGCTGTTGTTGTACCCAGAGAACGGCCCTCCGCCGGGGGGGTTGTTCAGTCGAGCCGGTTCGGCTTGCCATTGCGGCAGCGCACGACGATGAATGAAGGCAGAGACTGCGGCAACCGGGCCGGCCAAGTGCAGTTGAGCGACTCCTCGTGTCCACGTTTGGATTTCGACTCAATGGCACTGTGTGCGCACAATTACATGTCGGCTCGAACGTGCTCAGCCGTCGCTCCGTGCGTCATTTGCCCGCAATACGCCGGGACAAATCACGCTCACACCCGCGGATAGAATGCCCTCACAGCAACGATTCTGCCGGCGGTTAACGCAAGGTCCCTTCTTTGCCTTTGATTCATCGGGTCTGTCTGCTGGTCCTGCACCTGGCGGCACGGCTGCCTCCGGATTGACCCCGGCGAGCCCTCCATCCGTTCTTGGCATCTCAGCCGGCAGAACGACCGTGTCAAAAAAGGGGCCGTGTGTGCTGACGAGGATTGCTTTTTAGGTGACGCTAAGAAGGGTGCCAACCTCTTCAAGACTCGCTGTGCTCAGTGCCACACCGTCGAGAAGGACGGCGGCAACAAGATTGGTCCCGCTCTGCACGGCCTTTTCGGCCGCAAGACTGGTTCCGTCGACGGCTACTCCTACACCGACGCCAACAAGCAGAAGGGCATCACCTGGGACGATGACACCCTCTTCGCCTACCTTGAGAACCCCAAGAAGTACATCCCCGGCACCAAGATGGCTTTCGGTGGTCTCAAGAAGGAAAAGGACAGGAAGGATCTGATTGCGTACGTGCACCCCGACTTGCGCCCCGTTGATTCCTCACGTTTGGTTTTTTTTTTCCCCCGCTCAGTGCTGACCATTCGACCAGTTACCTGAAGGATTCTACTGCTTAGGTGCCTTGCACTTGTACTACTACGACATGATAGACGGGGACGGCATGCGTGTATTATAGACAAAATTTAGAATAGCCAGGGCGCTACCTGGATGTGCATGTTATATTCAACTCCTTTTTTACGAAAGCTCTAGGTATTTTCCTTTGATTGTGTTCTAGTTTGGCTTCAGAGCCGACTTTGTGACAATGCAAGTGCCTGGTGCAGTTTACTCCATCAGCTTCGCTCCTGTCCCATGTGCACGCTGACGTGTGGCATACGAATCCCCGATGGGCAGTATGTAGTTGTCGTTGGTCTACACGCTCCAGCACAGTCAGTTGCCTGGGACCTCAGATGACCATATCCCTCTCTCTATACGAGGCCGGATCCCGCACACTCGGCCTCGTGTTCATCAACGCAAACTCCCAATCTGCCTCGGTCATCTCCTTGCTCGACGTCTCATCCTGCATCCACCTCTCCAGCGCACTCTCCGCGGCTTTGGCGTGCAAGCCGCTCAGATCTGCGCCGCTGAAATTTGTGCAGCGAGGGTCCTGGGCAACGGACGATAGACATTCCATTGCCACGGGGGACGGGTTCTCATGGCGAGTCCGGTAGATGGCTCGGAGGATATCGACGCGCTCCAGAGGGGTGGGGAGGTCGATGAAGAGCTGGACGCCAAGACGGCCCGGACGGAGGACGGCCTCGTCAATCATCTCGGGACGGTTAGTGGTGCCGATGACGTAGACGCCCGTGCGGTCTTGCGCGCCGTCGAGCTCGGTGAGGAGGGCGTTTACTACACGCGCGCCCGAGTCGGTGGAGGAGTTGGCCCGAGGGGGCACAATGGAGTCCATCTCGTCGAAGAAGAGGATGCAGGGGGTCGAGGAGCGCGCCCGCTGGAAGAGCTCGCGGACTGCGCGCTCGGATTCTCCGACGTACTTGTTGAGGAGCTCGGGCCCGTTGATGAGGATGAAGCTGGCCTTGGCTTCGTTGGCGATGGCCTGGGCGACGAGCGTTTTGCCGCAGCCGGGAGGGCCCCAGAGGAGGATGCCGGCGGTCTGCGTGAGGCCGAATTCCTTGTAGACCTGGGGCCGTTTGATGGGGCCGATGATGGACATGTGCAGCTGTTTGCGGGCCTTGTCCAGAGCACCTACTTGGTCCCAGGTGACGTTGGGAATGACGGTGAAGCCCTCCCGGCGCAGGGAGGGAACGAAGTCCTTGATGACGGACTTGAAGTCGGCCATGGACACGGGTGCTTGCGGCCTGACACGCGGTCGCATGGTTGAAAAGAAGTCGCGGTCGCCGGAGACGATGGCCGACTTCATCTCCGACATGCGGACGTCGGTGTCCTCGGCGTCTTCGCTGATGCATTTTGCGGCCAGGTCAGTGGCCAGCTTGGTAATAAGGACGAGCTCGGCTGCCACGAAGCCGTGTGTGACTCTGGCAATTTCGTCCAAGTCGACGTCCTCTGCAAGTGTCTTCTTTTGGGTCACGGTCTGTAAGATGTTCTGTCTAGCTTCATAGTCTGGAATCTTCAGCCCTTTGATCACTTCGAACAGGCCGGTTCTTAATATCCCCTGGTCGACGTCTGCGATTCTGGATGTGGTCGCCATGGCAAGGACGTACCCATCTTCCCCTCGCCGATGTTTTAATCGTTGCATCTGCTGGGTGAAGAGGCGAACCGCTTTGGAGTGGTGCTCGTTGTGGTTGTGCGAGCCAGTCTTGGACATATACTGGTCTACTTCGCCGACAAAGACGATACTGGGGGCCTGGGCTATTGCCGCGTCAAAGGCTTCGGCCATGCTCTTTTCCATTCTTTCGGCGTCTTCGAGGCATCCGTTGAGGGACACTAGCGGTACGCCGAGCATTGATGCCAGGTTTTTCACCAATGACCTCTTTCCCATGCCGCAGGGACCAGATAAGAGGATACCCGTGGTTCGCTCCCATCCATTTTCTTCGTAGTAGTTTGCAAACCGCAAGAGTCTACATCCGTGCTCGAGGAGATCGCCGTACACTTCCGCGAGACCACCCAGGGGTACTTCCTCATCGACGTGCTCGACGGTGAACCGGCTTGCCCTTTGGGTCTTCCTCGTCTGCTGCTTTTCTTGTTTCGGTGCCGTTGAAAGACCCTCGGATACGTTGCCATTAACAATGGTCTCAACAACACTCATCTGACCCGGTGTGTCCTCGGTGTCGACCTGGGTCCGACGTTTTTTTGCTGGTGAAGGCTCTGCTGAGTCTGACTTGTTGACCGGCAGGTCCCGATGCCAAAGTTTCGTCATTTGCCGATTCAACAGAAATCTCTCGTCCTCTGGTTTTTCTGGTTCAGCCTCCTCGATGGCGGCGTCAGAGTCGCTCACATCGTCAACCTCCTGTTTTCTGAATAAGAGCACACGGTCTATTGCGTCCTCTAGGATTCTCTTCTTCTGCCTCCTCAGGCTTGAGTTTGACCGTTGGATAGCATCGTATGCCGCAGTGACTGTTTTGAACGGGCTGCTGCCATTTGCTGTTTCCAGGTGCTTTAGCACCGTGTAAACGTCCCGTTCTATTCGTGAACGGAGATTCACTCGCGGTTTCACCATGCCTGGGGGCATACTCAGCGAGCACAGCGTGGATTGAAATGATGATGAATCTCGATGTACGACATCGGGAAGCAAGATGATGCGGCGGTTGATGATGGCGCGCCCTCTGGTTTTGTAAGGTTATGGTCGATTCCCGTCCCGACAAGTGAGCTGCAGCTCAGTACAGGAGAGACACAAATGAGAGTAGTCGTCGTCGGAAAAGTTTAGTGATACGTTCAACTGGAGGATCAATAAGGGTCAAACTCCTAAACGCCAGTCATTCCGATGCAATACCATGAAGTATGTGCTGTCTGTGTTGACGAGGAGAAAACGCTTGTCGTGCCTGACCTCGTTCCAGGAGTCAGCTTCATATGATTCTACCATCGGTCACAGCCGGTATCACGCTATTTGGCTAGCATGGCATGTCATGTGTCGCTGGTATCCCGTGAATTGTTGGATGTTGTGATTCTGTGAATGAGCGGCGGATTTTTTCCTCCCCTCCAGTTCAATGTTCGAAGTCCGAAGGCCTGGCAGCTTATCGATAGCACTTCAGCCGGGTGCACCCCACCACCCCTTACTAACGCTGTATGACGGACGGAGGACGAATCACGACCGGCGGACATGCTTCGGCATTGGATACCACATGATCCATATCAACCTCAACACCGACTTCTTCCATCTGGAAGGACGCCAAGCGCTCGATAGACCTGCCACTCCACGGCTGGATCCAGCAAGTGTGCTCAACATGGGCAGCAACACGAGCAGAGTCACGGCCCAGGACAAGTATGTTCTCTCGCCCCTTGGGCCTTCATTCGTGCACCGCGCTTCGCTCGCCCTCGATCGCATTTGACGCCCACCCTCGCTCATTAACCATGTCGTGCTTGATGCAGGGCCATCCTGGACATGAAGAACCAGCGCGATAAACTACACCAGTATCAGCGACGAATCACCGTCCTCACCGACAAAGAGACCGATATCGCGAAGCGAATGCTCGCCAAGGGCGACAAGAAGAGGGCCCTGCTGGCCCTGAGGCGCAAGAAGTACCAGGAGTCGCTGCTGGTCAAGACGGACGCGCAGCTCCAACAGTTGGAGAAGTTGACGGCCAATGTCGAATTCGCACTAATACAAAAGGACGTCGTGTTTGGGCTGCAGCAGGGGACCAAGGTCCTTAAAGAGATCCATGCCGAGATGGGCGGGTTGGAGAATGTAGAGAAGCTCATGGGCGAAACGGCGGATGCGATTGCTTATCAGCAGGTATATTGCCCCCGGGTTCTCTTCTTTCTCTCTCTCTCTCTCTTGTCCCCTGGTCGATTACGGTGACTTACGGCAGCTCCGGCCAAAACAGGAGGTCAGCGACATGCTCGGTGGCCAGATTTCGAACCAAGACGAGGAGGAGGTGGAGGACGAGCTAGCCTCGCTGCAAGCAGAGCTCGCCGGCGAGGCACAGCAGCTGCCATCTGTTCCGAATGCGCAGGTCCCCATATCCGAGACGCAGGCCGAGGAGGAACCTGCGCGGGAGGCACGGCAGATGCTGGCCGCCTAGCTTGCCTAGTTCCAAGATGGCGTGCCGTCGTGTTTCGCAGTTGGGGATTTTCTTGATTTTCTTGATAGACTGGGCTTCGGGTGCATTACATTACAGCGAGCAAACATACACGGAGTTTGGGGGGAGGGTGTGTTACTCTTTTTTTTTAATGACATAATTTCATACGTGGCATTTTGAATATATTCACCATGACGCACGAATTGGAAGGGGGTGGGAAGGTGGGGGGGGCATTTTATTTCTTGCGTCTAACTGTCGTATTTCGCAATAAGCTTCCTCATTATGGACATGGCTCCTCCGCGATAGCCGCCGCCAAATATGGAAAAGTGATTCAAGTGGTGATACCTGCAATTGTCATCCGTCAGTCTGCAGCCAATGCAAAGGCGGGTGGCGGGAACCCGGCGGACGCCGACTTACAACTCATAAAGCGCGAGTCTGTCCTCCCACTCCTCGCGAGGGTCTGCCCTTGGAACCAGCGCTTCATATTCGTGCCAGAAGCTGGCGCCGAATCCGCCAAACATCCTCATGATACCCAGCTCGTACTCGGAATGGCCGTATACGGCAGACGGGTCAAAGACGACTTCTTCTGCGCCGCCCTTGCCGCCGATTCGGCCCCTGGAATGGTTGCCACTCCACAAATCGCCGTGTACTAGGACCGGCGTGATGTCCTTGGTGTTGGACTCACCGACGAGGCGAGGGACGACTTTGCTGGCCACCCTTTCCACAGCTTCACTCAGCTCGTCGTCCTCGCCGTGGTTGCTGACGCAGTCTCTGAGAATGCCGCGCAGTCGGTTGTCGGCGTAGAACTCGGCCCAAGAGGGTTTCCACGAATTGTCTTGCGCGGTCTCGCCGCAGCATGTGGGAACGGGGAACCCAAACATGGGTTTGTCATGGCCGTCTGGGATGGGAGCTGGCGTAGTGTGCAACCTGGCTAGTTTGGCGGCGAGAGATTGTCCTGAGCCCCCGGGGGCTGTAGATGCCAGGTCGAGAAAGTCGGTGACGAGGAAGTACTTGTTGGGGAGGGACATGGCCCCATGGGCGTAAGATTTGGGACAAAGGCTGGGGACGGCATTGTGGATGGCGTTGAGGGATGCATGTTCGCCTGTGATGACGGTGTCAGCGGCGTACCGCGTTGGGATCCCGGGCCACCAAGGGTGTTCGTTGAGTGCGTAGAATAAACGGCCGTACCCGTAAACATGAGCTCGGCGGCCTTCCCACTACCAGTCTTGACAAAATAGTTGACGGGTTGGCCGTCGATTGTGGTGGATAGTTTGAAGGTGGCGGAGAAGCCGGAGCCGCCGTGGGAGGCAATCCGGGCGTGCTGGCCGTCTATGCCGAGGGCCTTGAGGATCGCCGGGTCGACATTCGGAGTCATGGCTGTCGTGGTCTGTGAGTCCTTGGATGGCGGCGTCGGCATTGACGTTGGGCGTACACGAGATTGCTGTCCATGGGTTGGGTTGGTGCAATGCGCGTGATGGCGGGGTGACGTCAAGTTCAAGTACGTACATGTTACATACTGTCGGTTGGATGGGATGGCGGTCCACGGCGACGTCCGGACACGGACACGGACACGAGGCCTCACATTGGTAAGGTATTGCATGTTTACACGTTTATCCTGGTCATCTTCCGGCGTGGAGGGGAAGAAAGAAATAGCCATTTTCACCCGTGGTATGGCCGGTGCCACCAAGCATTCCGTCTCCTCGGTGTGAGTCGCCGGTCACAAGTGGTAAATAAAGCACCAGTCTCAAGAGCCAAGAAGAATAGCATGTACTAACTTGAAAAACAATACTGTTCCCATTCCAAAACACCGTTGTCCTTTGTCTCGCAAGCAACACACCGTGGTTGTACATGTCCGAGTTTGCCAAAATTGCTGTCGCTACTGACACGTGAGGTCCTTCCCGCAGATGCCTTGATATCCGGTAAAGCAGATACTTCAGTGTCCAAATCCAACTCATCAAATCAATGCGTTAAAAAAGCTCATCTCAAAGTCGCTGGTTGCCCGTCGCTGGACCAAACCACGTCGGTAAGGTGTTGGCTTTATTCTTCCTACAAGACCAGTTCTACATGTGTCGTAGTTGCGCTGTTGTTCCAGCTGCTCACTGAGATGGCATCCGATTCCCGCCCAGCTCGGGACCATGGATCAGCCGAGCTGCGAGCCGGGCTGGAGGAAGACGTACATCTTCGCGGTCCTCCCCCGAGAGGCTTCTGGGCGAGGATATTGTAGCAGTTGGCACAGGGGCAAACGGGGTTCGTGTTCAGAGGCGGTGGAGGGGCCATGTGGCGGGCGAACCAACTCCGTGTCTTGGAAGGCATGATGAAGCTGACGGTGTGTGTAGACACGGGAAAGAAATGCGTAGGAGCAGGTTCAAGTCGACAAGGTGTGTGTTCGAACTTCGTATATTGTAGATGCCGGGCCGTTCTCGACGGCTTCCGAAACCAACCTGGGAAGAGTGGGATATTTATGTTCTCCACGGCATCCGTCAAAAAGCTGCTGCTGCTCTGCCACTTTCACCCCTTCCCCTTCCACGCCGAGGATTCGTCTCAAGACCCCTGAACCGACACATTAGACTTACATCGAGCCTATTCCCGCAGTGGGGCAGCCGTCTGTGCCATCTCTGTGCCATCTATGGCGCGCGTCCTTGCGGTAACTTCGTGCAACTCGGGGAATAATCTGGCCTTGGCCCCTCGCAATCCACTTCTTATCAGCTGATAGCGCCTCCTGATCTTCTTCTCCCGCGGGTAGTTGTAAACGTTGCGAAAATCTCCGACTAGTCAACTGGTGGCGTCGTCCGGCAACAAACGCTTTGATTGGACCAGACTCTACAAAGTTAGATGTGGAACCAATCGACCCCGCTAGTGGCTACAACGGCTACACAGGCAAGGATAGCTCCTTCCCTTTCGCTCGGTGCACATTCGGCCTCTGCTCTGCGACGTACCCAAGATTCATAAGTTCCTCGGTCTCCAACGCCCCTATTACTACTCCGTGCTGAACACGGAATCAGAGCTTCTACCAGATGCTACCACAGTCTTCACGTACCAACTGCTCTTGGTTTCCGCGCATCGCTTACCCCGATGCAAGTCTCCCCGCCTCGTGACGCAACCGGGATTGGTTCGGTCGGGCCTGCCAGGCATCAAAAGTGGATGGACGGAATACGGAATCAACAACCCGCCTGTTATTGATTCACGGCTGGCCCAGAGCTGCCGACAGCGTTGCATTCAAGCACGGGCGTGTGCAGCCACGTGCAGGCCAAGAGGCACCGTCTCCCCCGATTTATAACCGTGGTAGTTATAAGACGCCTGTCCCTGATCCTGAAGTGCCTCAATGCGGCGTCATTCGACATCGGCTGACGGTGTTGATCCCGGCGCAAACATATGTGCGACGCATTGTTCAAACTGCTGCTCTCTCTGCAATCTTCCCACTTGCAGCCTGCACACTCAACAACTGCCACACTTCACTCCACAGTCGCACTCATCAGACTAACCACGTCATCATGGTGAATGGCACTCAACCCAGATCCGATTCTATAGGCTGCGAAAGGCTGGTTGCATGATACATCGAAAATACGCTAGGCCGCCACCTGAGCCGACATCACTTGTGAACTCTAACATCCTGAAATATTACACGCAATGCCAATTCTTTCCCACTCCCCGAAATGCACATTTTTAGATACCCAGCGTGAACTCGACACCCACGTCAATGTCTCGAGCTGCAAATCACAATCCTCAGCATTTTGTGTCTATCGGATGACGTTCCCGAGAAGAGAGAGAGGGCCAATACTTACCCAGCTTGACCACCTTTGACAGCTGCACAGACTTTTCGGCGGCGCTTTGCAGGTCGTCGATGGAGAAAATCTTCATGCCAGACTCGTTGATGATCTTGTGAGCCTGCTCAACGTTGGTACCCTGCAGACGGGCGATGATGGGGATCTTGAGGTTGAGATTCTCGACAGTCTTGATCAGACCCGTCGCGATGTGGTCGCAACGAACAATGCCACCGAAGATATTGACGAAGATGGCAGTGACCTTGGGGTCGCCGGTGATGAGTTCAAAGGCCTCCTGAATTGCGGCTGGGGTGGCACCGCCACCGACGTCCAGGAAGTTGGCTGGCTGTCCACCATTAAGCTTGATGATGTCCATGGTAGCCATGGCCAGACCGGCCCCGTTGACGAGGCAGCCAATGTCACCATCGAGCTTGATGAAGTTGAGGCCCGACTTGGCAGCGCGAACCTCGTCAGGGTCCTCCTGGGTGGTGTCACGCCACTCGAAAATTTCCTTCTGACGGAATTCGGCATTGTCGTCGAAGCCAAACTTGGCATCCATGCACAGAACCTGGTGGTCGTTGGTCTCAGAGAGAGGGTTGATCTCGATCTGAGTGGAGTCGCGCTCAACAAAGATCTTGTACAGCCTCTGAATGGTATCCTTGGCATCCTCAATGCACTGCTCGCTGAAGCCCAGCTTGGTGGCAATACCACGGGCAATATCGTCCGTCACACCAGTGTTGATGTCAATGTAGGTGGTGATAATGGCGTCAGGGCTCTCTTTGGCAACGGTTTCGATGTCCATGCCGCCCTGGGACGAGGAGACGATGACGGGGGACTGAGAAGCACGGTCCATGAGTATAGCCAGATAGAATTCGCGACGAGCGAATTTGCGCTCGCAAATGTAGACAGCGTTGCAGAGACGGCCGCCAGGGCCGGTCTGCTTGGTAATGAGTTTGTGGCCAATCATCTGCTGGGCAAACATCTCGGCCTCGTGAGGGGAGTAAATGACGCGGACACCACCTTTGAGGCCGTTATCAAAGGTGCCCTTTCCTCGTCCCCCCGCGAGGACTTGGGCCTTGATGACCATGTCCTCAGTGCCAATCTCCTTTGCAACAGCCTTGGCTTCTTCTGCAGTCTTGGCAACAGAGCCCTTTGGAACACCAACACCATACTATATGCGTCATATGGTCAGTAAGACAGTGTGTCCATCGAGCATTCGACGTGACGATTCGGGGCGGTCGGCGGGTTGTTACCTGTCGCAAGAGGTCGGCAGAGAGGTACTCATGAATACTCAGAGCTCTCCGTTGTTGTACAACGCCAGGAAGTCTGACGGCGGGGGCGACCTGAAGCTGTTGAGGAATTTCTAGTTAGCTGCATGTTATTGTCAGATGGCCAGGGGGGGATGGAAGAGGTCGTAGAGAAGGCCAGATTGACAAACCTTGGAGGCGTTCAGAGCCGATGCCAGGGCACGGCTGCGTCCGAGTTTGAACATATTGGTGGGAGACTGGCAGCTGCCAATAGACTTGTGACAAAGAAAATGGAGGTATTCGTGACGGGGTGCAAGCGAGAAGGGCCGGCTCTTGAGGTGAAGACAAGGCATGTGGCCGAGGAACAAGCTCGCAAGCCTCAAACCCTCAAACAGGAAACGTCAATGGGTGCGTGGCAGCCCGGGCCCAGCGAACCCGAGTTTCGCCGGTACGTACGGAGTACATGGGGCGGAAAAAGGTAGCGCCGCCAGCCGCCGCGCTGCACCGTAGCGGCTTTCTATCAAGAATCAAAATCCCCCAAGTTGAACTTTGGTCCGGTTTTTTGTTGCGCCATTGACTGACGTCTTGATGTTCACAGAGCAAAGATTTACATGACTTGCTCTGCAACCCGTAGCCCTTCACCAATGAGCCATTGTGTTGCGACTTCTGTGGTAATGCGTAATAATAAAGGTCTAGCTGGTCGACTTGGACACTTCCGAGTTCGGCACATGACTTGGGGGCACATGACCAACCGTTCCTGGCTGGCAAAGCTTCCCATCTTCCACCTTTCACCCACGGAACAAAAAACTAGCCAGAGCTACTAATCGTGCCCGCCCCACTTTATGTGGTTCGGCTAGCAAAAGCCCTCACCACCAAAGGTGGTGCTCGACAGCAAGGCGGGCCGGACACCAAGGCGGGCCAATTTTCAACCTAGACGCGTTGAACCGCGAAAATGGCTGCAACTAGCGTCCAAACGGCAAAAAGCGATGTCGAATTACGTGTCAACGAGGCTCTTGAGTATATTGAGGAAAATCCAGGTGCAAAAATTCGCTCTGTGGCGAAGAAATTCAACGTGCCTCGTAGCCGGCTTCAACGACGTGCTAACGGCGTTCCTGCTAGGAAAGGCCATCCAGCAAGAAATACAATGCTTTCACGAGAAGAGGAAGTTGCTTTATGTAACTATATCGATCGCCTTGATAAGGCCAACTTCGCTGTACGACCTGAATTCATTACAGATGCTGCAAATTACATCCTAAAAGAGAGGGCATCGTCAACTGCCCCGCCTAGGCAAGTTGGAACGCGATGGACTACACGCTTTATCCAGCGGCATCACTATCATAAAGGTCTTCAAAAAAAGATTGATTCAAGTCGAAAAGCTTCAGAAGATGTGACAAGAGCTCTTTCTTATTACAACAAGCTTAAAGAGGCTATTCAGCAGTACGGAGTCCCTCCTGAAGATATCTGGAATATGGATGAGACTGGCTTTCGTATTGGAATGGGAAAGGACCATTTAGTTGTTACAAAGCGAAGAAGAGCGCATCTATTTTCAATGCCAGAAAACAGGGAGACTGCAACAGCAATAGAATGCATTTCTGCTGGCGGCAAAGTTATTCCTGCCTTTCTTATCCTTACAGGGCAAAAACACATGGAGTCCTGGTATCGGATAAAGGAGCTTGAAGCTAATACCAAAATAACAGTCTCACCAACCGGCTTTACGAATGACGAAATTGCAGTTGCTTGGATACAGCATTTTCAGGAATTTGCAACGCCAATAGGCAGATATCGCCTTTTAATCCTAGATGGCCACGGATCACACCATACAATTGAATTCGTTGAATACTGCGAACAGCACGATATAATTCCCTTTGCGTTGCCCTCGCACCTTACACACATCCTTCAACCTCTTGATGTTGTGATATTTCAGCCACTAAAGCATTATCATGCAAAGGCGTTGGATATCATTGTTCGAGACGGCGTGTTGAATATTACAAAGATTGAATTCCTTGCTTGCATTCAAGCTGTACGAAAACAAGCTTTCAAGACTACTACTATTCTCACAGCCTTTCGAAAAACTGGAATTTCACCCTACAATCCACAGCCTGTAATTGAGGCCCTTGAACAACGAGCTGCAATTTACACATCAACACCATCGCCGCCGCCGTTATATCACAACAACTCTTCCGACTTTGAGACGCCCACAACACTCAGGCAGATAAATAAGGTTGCCAACAAGCTAGGGGAGGTATTAGAAGACGATACATCCCTTGAGCCTGAGTTTGCACGCAATATCAGTCGTTTCGCTGGTTGATGGCGCGGATTTCTTCGTTCAAACTTCGCACCTTCACCAACCAAAAACCCTGCATCGCTGACATCTCTTGCAGTTCCACCATGCGCGCCATCGTCTTTGGAACAAGGTCCCCGGTCCCCTCCCATGCACCTCGGAATGCACCCAATCCAGAGTCGTCATCTGATTTGCAATATGCATCTCGTACACCAGCCATTCCCATCACCAACCGGGCAAGGCCCCGGCCGCCCGTTCTCCGACATATTGTGAAATTGCATACCTACAGAGCCCGAGTCCTTAGACAAGATCTATCAAACTCGCTTGCCTGCACGATACCGGTCAAACAAACGGCTTAACAACATGGAGCCAGCCTCGTCACTTCGCTCGCCTTGGTTTACGTTTCTTCCTTGTTCATTCTTCGTGGAGAGTTTCGCATCCATCCTTGTCTTTGCTTCACTGCAAATTGACGTGTTGATCTTGTCAAAATAATGAGCATTTTTCAGGACATCCGACACGCGACATCTTGGTCTACCATTGTGGCTATTGCCGTCTTCGTTACCTCACTTGTAGTATGGACTAGACACAGAGTAGCTGGCGTTCGAATCCGGCTCGCTGGTGGTGCCAGGGCACCGGTACTGGCAGCCAACCTGTTTTCCGGTATGAAGCGGGGGCTGTTTACTATTATTAGTATTGATGCTCGTAGTACTCATTAACATGGCGTTCCGAAATGCAGCTACCAAACTCTATATTGATATCGGGGTCCATCAGTACAATAACAAACTCGCCCAATGGTGCAACGATACACTGGACGGCGCGCAAACAGACTATGCCGAGTTTAGCCTGACTGGGAAGAAGAGGGTTCTCATCACGCGAGACCCTGAGCAGATCAAGGCCATCTTGGCAACCAAGTTCGCCAACTTCGGACATGGTCCCCAGTGGAACCGCCTTTGGCGACCATTTCTCGGCGAGGGCATCTTTGCGACCGACGGTGATGATTGGCATCGCAGTAGAAGACTAATCCGGCCCATGTTTGTAAAGGAGAGACTGCGAGATCTAGTCATTTTCGACAACTGTACCAGGAAACTATTGTCAAAATTGCCGCCGTCTGGAGTGACGGTCGACATCAAGGACCTGTTTTACCGCTGGACTCTAGATACCACGACAGAGTTTCTTTTGGGCCACAATGTCAATAGTCTGGAAAAGTCAGTACTCAGTTGCACATTCGCAAATTCGTAAACGCTGACTGTGACACTTGAACAGCCCCAATAATGAAATTGCAGAGGCAATGGCCGTCGCCCAGAGGATACAGATGTATTTATTCGTCTTAAAGTATGTCGTCAACCCCTGGCACCATGTCGCAAAAGCATGTTTTGACAATTGTACACAAATGCCGCAGCCCCATCGCTGCTCTGATTCCGAAAGGAGATTACTTTCGTTCCATTACAAGACTTGAAGAATTTATTGAGCCAATTATCCAACGTGCTATTGCAATGCCTCAGCATGAACTCGAGGAACTTTCAAGGACTGACAGTCAATATACCCTCCTGCATAGCATCGCTCGAGTGACAAAAGACCGGAAAATTATTCGGGATGAAATCATGTCGGTCCTCCTGGCTGGGAGGGACACCACCGCATCTACATTGTCGTGGGTCCTGTACGAGATGGCATATGCCCCCGAGACTTGGGCAAAGCTGCGTGAGGAAGTCCTCAGCGAGCTGGGTCCCCACGGTATGCCGACGTACGAGTCCCTCAAGAACATACAGTACCTGAAGAATGCTCTGAACGAAGTGCTCCGACTTCACCCAGCCGTACCCATCAACATACGCCAAGCCTTGGAGAACACTACCATACCAGGCGCCCCTGGTCAACCCGACGTCGTAATCCTCAAGGGCGACACAGTCACGATAAACACAATCGGCATGCACACACGAAAGGACCTGTATCCCCCTGCTTCCAAAACTTTTGCTAGTCCGGCCGTATTCAGCCCCGAGCGCTGGGAGCACTGGACGCCGGCACCGTGGACCTACACGCCATTCAGCGGTGGACCTAGGATATGTGTTGGTCAGAACTTTGCTTTGACTGAAATGGCCTTTTGCTGTGAGTAGACTGGAGGACGCCAAAGTACGTACAGGAGAGGATCGTCGGATGCTAACACGCCACGATACAGTGGTTCGGCTTGCCCAGACATTTGAGCGACTAGAGTATCGAGGAGACTGGCATGCACAGAGCTTGAGAGCTGACATTATCGGAACGCCGGCACTCGAAGTGCCAATAGCTCTGTTTGAGCCGGAGCTGTAAATGTGCAACGTGTACGAATGAGACGAGATGATATGTAATGCGTATATGAGTTTTACTCGAGTTGAGGTAAACAAAGTTCCTCCCACCTTGAGCGTGACTCCTTGGCAGACACCCAGACAAACTGGTACACACGACTAAATAAACAAGAAACGAAGGTCCGTCCACAAAAAGCCTACCGAGTCGAGGTTGAAAAAAGCCAGCGCCAAGTGCAAATGCAAAAGCGTCAACTGAGGCAAGAAGATCTCACAGGCTCATCCTCTACAGCCACCCTGTCCAGGGTGTGCTCAAAACCTTTCCTTTGTCATCAAACTCGATGCCCTCGCGCCTTAGCAGACTTCGCTTCTCGTCAAGCGTGATTCCCTCCCCGTCCCGCGGCCACCTGCCCTTGAAGCCTCCCAGCGTCATACCAGTCGCGACAACCCTGTGACAAGGAACTTCAGGCGCAAAAGGGTTGCGCCGCAGGGCGTTGCCTACCGCCCTGGGCGACGAGCCGAGGTGCTTGGAGAGGAGGCCATAGGTGGTGACTCGGCCCTCGGGGATGTGGCAGAGCGCCGTCCAGACTCGCTTTTCAAAGTCTGTACGGCTAGACAGGGCGATTCGCGAGAGCTGCAGCCGCATGCCGGCAGCCGCGTTGGCGGACGGGGCCGTCACCTTGCGGCGTGTTTTGGCGCCCGAGGCGGCCGACCCGTCGTCCTGTTTGCCTTTGCCGCACACGGCCATTGGGCACTGGGCCAACGGGCTGCGAGGACTAGATGTACGTAAGTAGACTGAAGCTCGTGCCCACAGTACCGGGTCGTATGAGGAATAATGAACAATGAACGGCCGGACCGAGGAGGCGTGACGGGATGTGTGAAGTGAGGATAATCAGAGCAGGAGTTGAGCCGCGCCCGGCTAGTTATACCTCTGTTTCTCGTGTGTTGCTATGTGTTGCTATGCAAGTATGGATGTTTGGGGGGCCAAGACGCTTCCGCGAGCCGTTAAACACATGACAAATCCGGGCGTGAATCTTGGACATTGAAAGCAACACGCGACGCCAGACCACGTGACGTCATTTACGGCGCGCTCTGCCGTCGGACCCTGCGCTGCGGATTGGTTCCGAGCTGGTTTGGAGAGACACATCGTACATGAGTACTTCGTACACTGACTGGTAACATGTTTGCCGATCATGTCAATTATTGGTATCACTACGCTACACGTGTTTCTATTAAAATGCGGCGTTCTGGCACGTTTCGTGCAGATTGGTTTGTCCGCCGTGAGCCCGCGTACAATGAGCGGTGCTGACGGTTTGAATGGTGCCGCAGGCATCCGTCCCTGCACATGCCGTTGCGAAATTACAAGTCCGATGATGCGCCGCATATGCTGTTCCGTCTTTTACTAATTCATGAGGTTTGTTGCGCTTGCTGGTCTTATCGTGAGATGATTGTGTTGAGCAGGGCGTATTCTTTTTTTTAAAAAATTAAAAAATCAAGCGCGTCACGCCCGTTGTGAAGAAATCCGCTGATTCCCAGCGCAGTGTTCGCGTGATGTGTGTCAAACCCCGTCCGCATCTCCGGGGGGATATGAGCAGGTTCGTATCTCGGTATTATATGGTTTCTTCTTGGTGCATTTTACACCATGAAAGATTCGCCACAGCCGCATTGCTCCTCTGTGTCCGGGTCAGCTGGCGTTTGATCCTGCGGTTCAGTCAGGTGCTTACTTATGTTGGGGTTTTTAAAGACAAATCTCTGGTTGAGCTTGTCCTCGGCCCAGTCCATTTCGGTTCCGATGATGCTGAAGAGGGCTTTGCTGTCGATGAGCACCCTGACTCCGTCTTGCTCGACGAGTTCGTCAAAGGCGCCCGGCTTGTCCACGTATTCCAGGTGATACGCCAGACCGCTGCAGCCGCGGTTACGGACGCCGACCTTGATGAGTTTGGGCTCTGGCTGGTCTAGCATCGACCGGAGCTGCTCTACGGCGGCGGGCGTGAGTTTCATGGCCGCCTTCAGCGGACGTAGCCTTGGCCGCGGGCGAGTGGCTCTGGGCTTTTGCGCTGCCGGTCCGCTCGACTTTGAGGTTGGCTCCTTTGCCGGCTCTTGCGAGTCTTGAGTTGCGGCGGGCGGCGCTGTTGGGGCCGCTTGTCTTGGTGGAGGGCGTGTCTCGTGGACCCGTGGAAGGGCCTTCGGGGCGGCCATCGGTGTCTCTGGGACGGCATCCGCATTGACATTGCGGGTGGAGGATGTCGTTGGTAATGAGTACGAATGGTATGCTGAGGCGAACAGTCGAGGCGCCAAAGTCTGCCGAGGCGAGCGGCAACTGTGTCGCAGTGCGAATCGAGCCACCATGGTGTGGGCGCTCATCTTGGCGGCATGGGGTCCGGATAGTGTTCGGTAGATCAGTTCAGACGTGTTGTTGCTGGGCTGTGATGGGCTTCCATGCTGTATTTTTGCGCTTGTGTCAGAGGAGGTTCATCCATCATCTTTTTGCGAGGTCGGCTGACAAAGGCATCTGCGTACGGCATGGGCCTTCGGTTACCGTGTGGCGTGATTGAGTAGTGCCGCATCCGCCCGAGCCAATCAACGGCCGCAAATTACAAACCATGTTTATTGCCACTCTGTGGTGTGGTAACTTGCAAAACATGAGTTAAGTTATATGACTACCTATACTCCGTAAGTAGGGTGACGTTGGCTCTGATTGGTATAGTCTTATTTTTGCCCGGTATTTTCGAAAGCAAGTGCGCGCATGGGACCATAACATTAAACACACATTTTGGTCCAGAACCTGCGTAGCTTGTTTGGTGACGACGTCCTCGTTTCCACATAGTCCCATCATGAAAGGTGATTTCTGCAACCTCGCAAGCCCGGCCACTCGACGAGTTCCTAGGGGCCCTTTACTGTCTTGCTTGAAGCAGGATTCGTCTAATCACGGCATGTGAGGTTAATCGCGGAGTACCACCCGGTTGGTACATAGCAACGATCGTCTTGCAGTCCCAAAGATCGCGGAGCTACCCTAGACAACTATAACTCGGTCAAGCTCGTGACACAACTTCATTTTTGTATACCTGGTCAGCGGCGCTACGGATTTCGAGACGCAGCCAATCCTCCAAGTAAAGACATTTGCCAGCGTGACCCGTGTCCGGATATGCTTGTCGACCTAGCCACTGGCAACTGAACCGGGAGATTCTGGCTCCGCACATATTTGGCATGTTCTCTTCTCAACGTCAACATCTTGAAAATGGTCGCCGAGAGCAAGTCGCATGCACCCAAGTGGGCACTCGGCAGAGGTAACACGTACGTCCATCTTCCCACGGCACCGGGTTTGATCCCTATGCAGGATACTCCGTACCCAAGGCCGCCTCAGTGCGCACTGCCTCCAACTAACTGTAACTAATTGGGATGCATGAGCGTGTACTTTGTTTTTTGCGAGTGCCAAAAAAAAAAAAAAAAATCGGGCAAAATGAGGGCGCAAAGCACACATATGCGAGTCGACTCAAATGGTGCGCGAGTACTCCGTAGAGACCCGAATTCCATTGAGTAATACTCCTCCGTACTATCTATCTGTGTACCCCGTACATATGCGCAGACAATTTTTCTCCTGTTCGCTGTGCGGCCTTTCACACGGCAGAAAATACCCTGACTGGCTTCGGCATGATAAAGGGGGTGGTTCACGCATTTCGAAAATACCACGCCGTACAAGCTGTGTAGTCAATCGGCGAAAAAGTAAATCTTGAGGCAACGGCGGTCCAAGACCGAAGAAACGCCGGCAGCGGGAACGGGATCCGGTCACAAAGCAGATTATGACAAAGTCTGTGAGGAAGCGGTCTCGGCTGGCTTTGTTCGTCCACGTACGGAGTACGCCCTCCGTATTACTACTACTCCGTCCTACCAGAGCGAACGTGTTTACATGGTCATAATCAGTGACATGGATGGGCCATCACATGCAGCGAGCAATTTCATGGCCTGCTGCCCGCCCACCAAGGCCAATTCCTGCAGCGATTTTTGACACGGAACCCTTGAGACAGTTTGGGCTGCGGCGGGAGACGGATAAAAGTGTCAGGATCAGCTGTGGGTGCGCAACATCGCCAATATGGACGGGGGAGCTCCTACGCCACGGGTAACAGGAGTGCCCAACGTTGGTCGTTGGTCCTACGAGTTTTTATCTCATTTCATTCTTTTCTTTTTCATGTGAAACCATCCGTGGTCCGTCCGAGAGTCATTGATCCCGTCGCTAGTCCTCCTCCGCACTGCCGTGGGCAAAAAAGGAAAAAAAAAGGAAGAAGAAGAAGCATCTTCCCCGTCCGGTTCCCTCATTCGGCTCCGGGATCCAACTCGGCCTAGACTCCTTTGTCCGTGTGTGATCTTTAATGTACTCCATATGGCTTCAATACTCTATATCGTGTTGGAACAGCTAGCCCCTGAGAGCGCGTGATATTGTATCAATGACGTGTTAACGTGGCGATGCAACGTGACAGTTGCCACATTACGTTACTTTTGGGCAAGAGTTGGCCACGCAAAGCTCAGCCAATATAGACCGAGATGGGGTGAAAATGAACAACGTACAAAAAGGACAAACCTTGACGTTTCGGAACATTTACCATTAGTCATGTCCTCCTGGCGCTGGTCGTAGCTCTTTTTAGGGTATTGCATCTATGTAGTTATACGTGACTTGATCTGGTACGTTGGCAGGACCCAGGATTTGCTTCATTCGCGATCGACGTGATATTCATTAGTTCGGCATATTGAACCTATCTGCATAGCTTATGCCGAGACTAGTGAATCTGACCAGCGAGCTGTCCTCGGTTCTTGTGTCCACATGTTGACAAGTCGATACTCCCGCGGCATCTGTTGTCTTAGCCTAGTGAAGAATAATTAATCCGCAATTAGGTAAGGACAACTGACTTCGAAACGCCTACAGAGTACAACTTTCTGGCCCTGTATTAGCGTCCTGGCACGGCCACTCATCCTCAAGACTAATTTGATACTCACAACGGTTGTTACTTAGCTCGGGTTCTGGTGTATCTCAGCACAGCGTCTTCTGGGTTGGGGTTGTGAGCGAGACACAATGTCCGGAACCAAACTGGGAAACGAACAGGTTGTATGGAGATAACCGTATTCCAGGCCAGAGAGCAGCCGCTGGGATTTGCGCTGGTGCTAAAGTGTGCGCGTTCAGTACCTGGCGACCTCGACGGCACTTGAGCTCCCCGATAGTGCCAAGGAATAAGTCAGCAGGATGGGTGATCAGTCAAAACACAATGAGAGACCAGAGACCAGCATTTCGTTACTCCGCATGCAAGACACGAGAGAGTTATTACTTGACCGAGGTAAAGCCAGGTCGCGATACTCCGTATACCAACACTACTTCCTGAAGCCCGCTCGCTAACACTACTGCAGCGACAACCCGTAATTGCAGACGTCAAACCATATGCCCGACACCGTGGTCTGCAGCCCAAGGAACCCTTGTCATCTTTCGGAGTTGTGGTTCTTGGAGTAAGACCTTATCTTGGGACGCCGACTCTGAAGCACTGGTGTAGTATGGCATAGGCTCAAATGTATCGACGGTAACCTTTGCTGGAATCAGGCAACTGTCAAGTGTGCCCGGGCGTCTGGCAAATTGAAATATTGCGCGCGTGGACCACCTCACACGGTATACCGTGGCAGTGTCGTGCATGATTGTGCATCCTCTCGAGCACTTTCGAAATGGGATGATACTCTGGGCTCTTCTGACGCGACATAACAGCCCAAAACATTTTCGAGGGGCAGTATACTGCTCCAAGCTCGTGGAATAACGCGACCATATCTGGTCTACCTGAGCGAGGCAGCATGCCAAGTTGGCGTGTAGTCATCCTTGTTGTTCTGGCCGTGAGCAAGTCAGGGAGTCAAAGGGTCTCTCGTTATTCTGTCTGTATGTCTTGGTGTTCGCCTCGGGCGGCCACAGAAGTATTGAGCTTTGCAAATCACTTCGGCTTTCGGCTTTCCATATAAGAGAGAGGCCTAAATGTGAATTCAAACTGAACGTGAAACCATTTGGTAACATCCTGCCGTGGTAAGTGTTGCGAGTGCAACTCTGCGGGGCACAAAGTCCAGGATGGGCATCGAGGAGAAAAACAACCGTCAACTTGCAAGGCAAACGGCACGACCTGTGGTGTTGTTGCGACTACTGGCGCTCTGTAGTTCACATGGCCAATGGTACTCATTGACGGAGCACACTCCCCGCGGATGTTGAGTGCAGCGAGCAAGTAACGTTAGCATGGAGTTCGGTAATGATGATGAAGAGCTGGGAACCTGACCCGAGGGTCCCAAAAGCCGAAAGAGTTTTATCTTGCATGCATGTGGCGATCTCGTACCTGCAACTTGGCTGGTTGGGTCTGGGCTGTTCTTTTCATCCTAAATTTCTGCACAGATGGTTCAAGTGTTGGTTCAACCAAATTGACAGTTGGAGCACAACACTTGGGCGAGCATGCATCGATCAGCGGGCTGCTCTTTCCCCTGCTGGGTCGGGCTGGCTGAATACTGCCCCATTGCTTCAGCGAATGGGGGGAGCGCGGGAGCTGCTGTTGGCCCCGCATGTGCTCGGGCTAGCAGGAGCAACCAACGCCAACGCCAGCGCCAGCACCAGCACCAACGCCAACACCAGGACCAGCACTCGGAACCGGCATCGGACATCGGACACTGGAGTCTGGAGCAGCTCACTTGTCTGGACTCTGGACTCTTGGCCGTCGCGAACGTTTGGATGCACTGAAATGCACGGGGACGCGGATCCGACTGCTAATGTTGCAATATTCCCACCGGACGCACTACCTGATAATACCGGCGCCTTGGCCCTGCAATGTGACGAGTTCGTCCCCTACGACGCTACTCCGTACAGAGAGGGAAAGCGAACCGGACCGGACCGGATCAGACCAGACCAGACCAGACCAGAACGCTCACTCACTTGTACTGCACGGGCTGGCAATCTCTTGCTCTGGCAGGACGGGACTGCGCAGTGAGCAGTGAGTGACCAGCGAGCGTGGACGGAGAACAATTGCCGCTCACGACGGTTGGACGGCGCACGCAGATTCAGGCGTTTACCCTGCAATGCAACATTTCAAGTCTGGCCGCGAACGCCTGTCCAGTGCTCAAGGCTCAAGGGACCTTGCAGACCGAGATACAACATGGCGAGCATGGGGAGCTGGAATTGGCCGAATTCTGTGCCACAA